CACAAAGTAATAAGGACAGTAGTAGTCGTGAGCTGTAAGCTCTAGGGATAACCAGCAAATGTTGTTTAACATACCTTCCTGTATCTTTATTCTGAGCTTCACATCCCTCCTCCAAACAATCTATGAAAAAATTCCCAGTGATATTCTGCTCTGCACGTAGATGGTTGCCTAGTCCAATCTTCATCAGAGGGGTTTCCTTGGCAGCTGATGGGAGCAGATGCGGAGACCCACAGCCAAACAGTAGGAAGAGCTGAGGGGTCCCCACAGAAGAGGGGGAGAAAGGATTGTAGGAGTGAGAAGGTTGGAGGACATCAGAACATGGCCCACAGAATCATATAGGCAGAGCTCAGAGGGGCTCACAGAGACTAAAGTAGCCACCACTGAGCCTGCACGAGTCTATGCTAGGTCCTCTGCAACCATGCTGTGGGTGTTTACCTTGAGGTTTGCAGGACTCCTAACAGTGGGAGTGGGGGTGTCTCTGAATCTTTTACCTGCTCTTGGGACCCTTTTCCTCCTATTGGGTTGCCTCTTCTAGCCTTACTATGAGGCTAGACTGTGTTCAGTTTGCATCCCTGTGAGGACTATTCTTTTCTGAAGGGAAATAGAGGAGGAGCAGATCTGGGGAAGAGGGGGGTTGAGGACTTGGAATTGTGGAGAGAAGGGAGGCTGTGGTCCAGATGTATTGTATGAGAGAAGAACAAGTAAAAAGAAAGAGCGTGCACTGGTGTGGCTGGAGAGGTGGATCATCAGTCAAGAGCACACTGTGCTCTGTTAGAGGGCCAGAGCTGGGCAACAGCATATTTCCCAGAAGGCTCACAACCTGTAACTCCAGCTTCAGAGCCTCTCACCTCTGGCCTCAGAGCACTGTACTCACGTGTCCACACACAGGCATATATACATAGACACAGTTAGTTTTCTTTAAAAACAAGATATTTAAAATGTAGTGGTACAGAACATCACATAGGCAGGTTACGGCAAAGCTAAACAGTCTCTACTACAGGCCTCAAGTGTTATCTGATGGCATTCCTAACCTGTGGGTTGGTGAAAGCAAGAGCTGGGGTCTTTTAAAAAAGATTTACCTACTAGTACAAGGATGAATGCTGGGTCACAGAACTGAGCAGGGAATGGTCACTAAGAGGGATAAAGAGAGATCTAGATAATTTGACTGTGATCTGAACAGCCCATCTCTCCATAAACACACAGTCAGCCAGCCATGTAGAAACTTTAACACAGGAAAGGCTCACAGGGCAGATGGACGTGGCACTTAGTACTCTAGCTATAGCCAAGATAGGTGAAAGCCAAGCTTGCAAGCACAAGAAATCCCATTGAGAGCAGGGCTATGTTTAGATAACTATATATACCAGTGTTTTGAGATGACACTTCTGGTAGAATAGCAGATGTGTGTATGTATAACATTGTTGTTGTGATGTTGTGGGTTTTTTTTTTTTTTTTTTTTTTTTTTTTTTGTGCCTGGGATCAAACATAGGCCTGTGCATACTAAGTAGGTATCTTAGCATTGACATGTATTCCTTGGCCTTGCACAGCTCCTTTGCAAAGAGTGCAGCAAATACTGATATCTAGGATGCAGGGCTCATGTTCTGTTGGCTGAAATACTGACGATGGATTGTGGTTAGCAGTTTTGTTTGTTGGTTTGGTTTTTTTTCTTTTTTTTTTAGACAGGGTTTCTCTGTGTTGCCTTGGCTGTCTTGGACTCTACACCGCCGGCTGGCCTCGAACTGGCAGAGATCCACCTACCTCTCCCTCCCGGGGTGCTGAGATCAAAAACATGCGCCACCATATCCAGCTGTAGTTAAGCAGCATTTGGTTGCTTAACTGGTAGATGCATATTTTGAAATATCACTCTTGGCTATGTCATGGTTTCTGCATCTGTGGTGTGAAAGGACTCACACATAAAAGACTTACCTGTTCACACGGACTTGTGTACACAGATTGACATGCTTATTGTTCCTGAATACCTGTGAAGTGTTTTTGCTCATGAACTGATAACAATGATGGTCGGTTCAGTTCCTCTAAGGATTCTTTTCATCTTTTCTTCACAGAGATGGACAGAAACATAACACAAAACATCTCTGGGACCTTATACCTATTATCCCCTTTCCTGTTTTACCTACAGCCGGTGTCTTTCATTCCAGGTGAACCAGACTCCTTGGCAGCTCCAGACTGTACACCCAAAGAGCGGCTTTGGGAAAGTGCACAAACTCTTACTCCTAGAGCCAACTTTGTTGATTTCTTCAGGGACATCATCTTCATCTGTCTGATAAGAAGATGCCATAGGTTTATATTTAACTGGCTAAACAGTCAACGTTCATGTCTCACCTTTTAAAGTCTGGAAGGTTGAAGATCAAAGTACACACAGATATGACATGTGAGACCTTATTCCCCCTCTGTGTCTTTCTTGCTGTGTCCTCAAATGATAGATCCCTTCTCTCCTGTTTCTTCTAAAAAGGACACCAAACCAACAGGGCCCCAAGATCTAAGTGCTTAAGAAAGATCTCATCTTTAAATGACCTTGGTCATTTGAAATTCAGTAGTGGGTGTGGAGGAGGTAAACATTTACTCTATTAGCAAAACTGGTGCCACTTAAATATAAAGTCAGAAAGCAGCTGTGAAGTAGGAAACAGGTCACCTCTGTGGGTTGCTCATCATGCTTTCCTGGTACATCCTGGGGCAATGGAGAAATACTTCGTGGTCTAAGAAGTCTGGCCAGAAAGAGGGGTGGAGGGTTCCTAGGCAGCAAAGGTTCCTAGTGGCACCAAAGGCTGAGAGAAACTCAAGCCAAGGAAGTGTGCTGTTTATCAAACAGACTGGCAGAAGCAAACATGAGCAAACCAAAGCAACATAACAAATGGTTGGTAGCATCTGAACTTCTGTGTTTAAGCCAGGCGTAAACATCCATGGCTATCTTTGGGTCATGATTATTTTTTTAAAATAAGTATACATGTGTGCATTTAACAGAGTCATGTAGATTAGCTATGGAACAGAAAATTACCTGAGAGCCATCACCCTAAGCTTATTGTTCTTACTTCTTTAACCTCCTTGCTCTTTCTCGGCAAAGATAATTCCCATTAGTTTATTTGCATTTTAAAATAAATTAATTAATTAATGTGTGTGTGTGTGTGTGTGTGTGTATGTGTGTGTATGTGTACTAAGCATGTCTGTGCAGATCAGAAAACAACTCTTGGGAGTTATGTCTTTCCCACCCTCCGGTGGGATCCTGGGACTGAATTCAGGGGGAAGGAACTGCATACATCACCTCTACTCACCAAGCCATCATTTCATTAATTTTATAAGGGTGCCTGGATATTGAAAAATAATCATTTCTTGTGCCTTAATAAAAATGTTAAATTCTGAAAAAAGCTATCAACTTTCACTCGTCCAATCGGGCCATAATTCATACAAATTAATTTGTTGTGAAAACCCCACTTTCTTCCAATGTGTTGAAATTGTTGGGTTCAAAGGAAAATTCTGAAAGCCTTTTGATATTGAGGGGTTTGGCAACAGTTTTTTGTATCCTGTTAAATGTGAGAGGGGTGAAAAGAAAGAGGTGCTGTTGTGCTTTTGCTATTGTTTTGTCTTCTGTCTTTTTTGTTTTTCCTCAAAAACACCTAAAAATTTATGAACTTTCAGAGGGACATAGAAAATAACTGAAATGGTTCTTCATGTAACAGAAAGAACTGTAGAACTGATTCATACCCACACGTAGATAAATATGCAAGTCTATGCTGATGTAGCTGATTGCACGGATAAATGAGAGATAAGAAAAATTCCCTTAACTAACAATCCCAACAATAATGTCTGAATGCTACAGGAAGTAGTGTTCAATATTCCTCTCATCTGGTGTAAAATGAACTGAGCTGATAGCTTTTTTCAATGCAAGGAAGACGGTGTGAGGAGAGAAAAACCTAGCTGACTTGACTTTCATCAGGAATCAAGGTCAGCATTGTTTGTGATGTCCTGTTGCTATCATGTTGACCGTCAGAGAATGGGATGACAGGGGTACTTGAACCTGTGGTGTTCTTCCTGGTGTACACATTAATACATGTGAAAGACACCTGACAGACAGGTGGGATACCCGCAAAACCTCTCTGGTGTACCTCAAATCTCTAAAGCTGTCTATCAAGCAAGGACTAGAAAGCTACCCCAGGCCAGCAGAGACAAGGTGATGATGCCTGTTGTATTCCGAATGGGATCTTGGGGTAAAAATAAAAGATATTAGCTCAAAAACTTGTGGCATTTGCAGAAAGCATTGGGGGTTTGTTAATAGCAACGAACATTGTTAAATTCGTAGTTTTTTCCACGAAGCCACCTCCATGGAAGCGTAAACATTGGCAGCATTGGCTTAGCAGTAGAGAGAGCTCTTACTCTGGGTTTTGCCTTTGTTTGGTTTCAGATCATCCCGAAATAAAATTTTGTATTAAACATACACACACACACAGACAGAGAGACAGAGAGAAGGAGGGAAAGGAAGAGAGAGGGAGAGGAAAGGAAGAAGGAGAGAGAAGGGAGAGGGAGAGAAAAGGAAGAGGGAAAGAAGAGGATGAGGAAAGGAAGAGGGAAGGAGAAAGGGAAGAAGGGAAGGAGAGAGAGAGAGAAGTTTGTGGACTTGGGGTGCAAACAGAACACCCTCAGGAGGGCCTGTCCTCAGTTAGCCCTCTCTCCTGGGACAAGCGCCTTAGGGCGAAGTCTGGTCTTTACAGCAGTGGCGCAAGCAGCCCAGGCGTTGAAGAGCCTAGCTAGGCTCCTCCCAGGGCCCGCCTAGCACCGGACTCTGCCTTCAGTGTGCCCCGCCTAATAGCCTTCAGTCGCTAAACTGCACCAGTTTGGGACCTGACCCGGGGCTCTCTGCTTGATCGCCCGGAGCTGCAGCCGGCGGGGCCCTCCGCCGAGCGCCCCCCCCCCCCCCCCCGGGGGGGGGGCCGGGGGGGCCCCCCCCCCGCCCCCCCCCCCCCCCCCCAAGGTAGGCGAGCCGTGGACGGCTGTGGCCCGCACTTGAGGCCCGCCAGGTGAGGGGACGCCAGGTGACCTTGGAGCGGGTCACCACCCAGCGGAGCTTTGCACCCTGGGAAGTTTCCTGGAAACGAGGGAAGAGATCTTGGGAGAAGTGAAGAGGGTGTTTCTTTGAACCTCTCTTCTGGGTTCGGATTCCCTGATCCACAAGTTTCGAGAAAGAGAAAAAGTTGCCTTTCTGCTTCAATGGAATCAACCCCAGTGCACACACACCAGCTTGCTTATTTAGGCTGTCGCTGTCGTCTAGTCCCTTAACCAGAAGTCCGGAGTCGTCTGTCTGCTTGTTTAAGTGGGCCCTGGAGAAAAGTAACTCGGAAAACGCTGCCATCTCCCTGGAGCGGCGTCGCTGCTTCCGCGATTTTTGGCAGCAAAGGTGAGCGAGGGTGTTCGCTGTTCCGTAGCTGCAAGAACAGTAAGGGAACAGCCCACCGGTGTCTCCTACTCTTCATTTGGATTGTAGAGGGGCCCGGGGCAGCTTTGCCAGCGACCAGTATCTTCTGCAGGAGCAACTGGGGTGTGAGGGTGGATCGTCATGGTAATGAATTTTCAGCCTCTTTCAGAAGGAAAAAAGTGAACATAAACTTGAGAACATAAAGCTTGCCTCCGGACCAGGGCAAAACTGAGGGTTCTCCATCACATCACAGTTATTTTATTCGAAGGATGGAGCCGTCCCCTGACCCCGCCCCCTTCCTTTTGTGCTATATAAAGGTTAGTAAGAAGAGATGAAGCTTAGGAATGACAAACAGGAAGTTTAGGAATGGCTAAAGGTGACCTAGCCTCCCAGTTTTACCAGACGCCATTAAATATTTAGCTCTACCTAAGACTGGTTTCCCAGAAACTTGAGCTGGGCCTGAGTGTCAGGTGCCTGTGCACAATTAGTGCTGTTGTTCAGTTGTTGCAAGTGCTCTCCCCTGTCTCCCCACCTCCCTGCAGAGGGAGGGGAGGGGCATGAGAGAGGAGGGAGACAAAGAATTTGTGTTTCAGGCAGGGAAGAGCACTGTATGATCGTTCTATTCCAGAAATAATGAAAAGAAGCTTCATGTCCTAGGACCTAGGCAGACTAGTTAAGATTCTTTTTCTAAATTGTATTTTTATTTAAGTGTGTTTTTAAAAATTTATTCACTTTACATCTGGATCGTAGCCCCTTCCCTCTTCTCTCAATCCCACCCTCCCTTTCTTCCTCTTACTCCCTTCCCCCTCCCCTAGTCCTCAGACTAGTCCCTAGGCCTCCCCTACCAAAAGACTCCAGCCTATCAAGTCTCATCAGGACTGCCTGTCCTCTTTCTTTGTGGCCTGGCAAGGCCACCCAATCAGGAAGAAGTGATGGAAAGAGCAGGCAACAGAGTCCATGTCAGAGACAAGCCCTGCTCCACTTACTAGGAAACCCACAAGAAGATTGAGCTCCCTATGGGCTGCAGATTCTTAATTTGTTCTTTTCAAAATAAACTGATTTTCTGTCCTAACCGAAAAGAGACTGAAAAAAGGACAGGCACTGTTCAGTAATTTACTAATAGAGACTACAACCTGAATAAATCCACCTACTATCATTTTTTAGTTTGGCTGTTTCAAATATGCTCCAACAGTGGACTTGGGTTGCAATCCACATTTTTGTGTTTTTTTCTTTTCTTTTCTTTCTTTCTTTTTTTTTTTTGTTGTTTTTTTATTTTTTTATTTTTTGCCAAGATGCTTAAAAATATAAGCTAGATTTGGCTGAGTCCTTAAAAAGTTTTACAAATAATTGCTGATAAATAGAGATTCTGAAGGGAACTGAAAAGTTTTTAAGGTTATAGGTTCAAGTATTTTGAACTGAGACAGGTGTTAGATGACCAGTTAGACTCTGATGACCATTTAGTGATTGAAACATTTCATAAGGACAAAACAATGTTCTACAGAGCCTGCAGATTCATTCTGGTTGTTGTTCCTGTTAGGCGCCAACAGTGCCTTCCTTGATTAATTTAATAACCTGTTCCAATACATTTACATTTTGCCAAGCACAAAATCCTGTCCTCTACATGGGCTTGGAAAACAAACAAATGTTGGTTTGGGATAGTGTATATGCGATCAGTTTTTGAAACTATTTTAAGCAGTCGTGAACTTGTGGACCAGATCCTTAGGTCAGTGTGTTTCATGTTGACGGCACAAGAAGACACCTTCCTGTCTGGTTGTACTAGATTCCTTCAGGGCATCGTACAGTCATGTATCAGGAAGCACACCATTGATAAGGGAGACATCTTTCTGCCCAAGGTGTCACGTATAACTAATTCTACAGCTTAGAGAAGAACGCCGTGTTATTTTGGCTGGTGCTGTTCTCTTTTGTGAAACTTAGGACTTATGAATTCTAGGTTTAACATCGTTAAACTGGAACTACTAGGACTAAAGAGTCAGATGTTAATTTCATGAAGAATAACTTAAGTTTAAGTGTGCTGCCCTGGGTGGCACTGATTTTGGAGGGAAAATGTGAGCACAAATTTTAACTTTAAGGAAATCCTATCCAAGAATTATTTCTTTTCTTTTATATTAGAAAAACACAGAAACAATGATTGCAGTTCCCCATAGGGGGAAAATCAGTTATGTTCAAGTTACCCTTGCTTTTATTGGAGGTGAAATCAAAATAGTCTAAAACACATCCAGCTGTATAATTCAGCAAGTGTTTGTGAACCTGCCGAACGGCACCGTTGTCACCACAGTCCAGTGTCCAGCCATGTCACCATCCCTAAACGTTTGTAGTTTCACTATCCCTGTCTTCAGTCGCAGGGAAATGCTGACTCTTCAGATTTATCTTTTCTGAACACTTCAACCTAGTGGAATCAAACAAAGGATTAAGGACCAATTCTTAATATCTAGCTTATTTTACATAGAATAAAGATTTTGGTTATAGCATGTATCTGTGGTTGGTTATATTTTATCAACTCCACTTGAGATTGTTTTAAATATTTTATTTTACACACACACACACACACACACACACACACACACACCTACACACATATGTGTATACTTTTTTTTTCCCTGCGGTGTGTTTATGTGTTTGCAGGTGTAGGTACATGTGTGTGGAGGCCAGAGACTGACACAGGTATTATTCTCTCCATCTTATATGTCAAGGCAGGATTTTTTTTTCACTTGAACCAGAGCTTGTTAAATCAGCTAGGCCAGTTCACTTCTAGCTGCAGGGCTTGGCCCTCTCTACCACCTGTGCACTGAAATTCCATGAGGCTAACCCCCTGCACAGCATGGCATGGGTGCTAGGGGTTGATGGCTGGTCCACACAGTCTGTAGCAAACACTTCATCCTTTGAGCCAAGTGTTTGCTTTCTTTGTTTATTGGTATGGGCTTACTCCACCATGTCTGGTTTTCTGCAGTGCTGAGGATCAACTGCAGCGCTTGGTGCATGCTGGGAAAGCACAGCTCTGACTTAGCTGCATCCCTAGCCCAATTTCCATTATTAGCATTAAGAACTTATCATCACATTTCCCGTTAAACGGTAGGGTTTTCTGTGCTAAACTGTCTAGGAAATCCAGTAACAATGTTCCAATGTTGCAAAAGCAATGACTTTTGGGGATAACTGTTAGGAATCAGGAAACTGATTGCTTTCTAGGCTCTCATTTAGCTTGTGTTGTGCTGCGGCAATGGGCACCTTTGGAGGACGGTTATGCCTGATGACTAATGCTTAAGGAGTTTTCTGTATTTGAGCTGAAACTCTTATAAAGAGTCCATGGGTTCTGAGAACCTGCGAGAAGACAGTATCTCAATGAGTGCTTTTCTGTTGCCACTCAAATCAAAGTTCCCGCTGTAGAAAACATGAACAGTAAGATAGCATGAGTTCTTTTTTTGGCAACTTGGAATGCAAGGGATTTTTGAAAAACATTCTACATTTGAGAACAAGATAACCCGAGTCAAGTAATATTATTTTCCATGTTTAATGTATTCTTACAGACAGCTCTGTTTTTCTGTTTGAAATGTCAAAGGAGCTTCCTGAAGCTCCTGGATGAGACCCAGACTGATCTCAGTAACGTCATCTGTTTTATTCACCTGTGTAAAAGTTTAGAAAGTTACGAAACAGAAGTCCATATTGCTCACACCAGGCATCTGCTTCTCTTTGGTATCCTTCTATTATTATTTGGATCTAGGTAGGATGGTGTTTTGGAGAAGCCAGGCATCTTTATTGTACAGAAAGGAGCACAGATAGTAACAGAAAGAAAGGTCCTGGCTGCTCCAGGCCCTGAATAGATTTCATAGTCATCAACTCAATAATCTGCATGTAAAGAGCCTTAAGGATAGCATGCAGAAGGGCCAGAAGCTTTGAGGGCCTAAGGGGAGGTAAAGGCCCATGAATCTACAGGAGGGAGGAAAGCAAAGGGTGCCACTGGGACCTGTGTAGACCCCTGAGAGTGTGTGTGTGGGGGAGAGGGCAGAGGCCACAGCAGGTGGTTTGCTACCAAGCTGAGGCTGAGACAGGGTGGTCAGGACAGTGGTTGCTTGGTTCCCTGGCTAAAGTGGCCAGAGTGTTTCCAGGGAAAGCCAGTGGGACTTGGCAGCTGAGGCAAAGGGGTGTTGTGGTGAGAAGGGCAATAGAAGATCAGTGTGATCCTCTGCAGATGAATTTCAAGAAGGAGGGGAGGCCACAGCAGGCACAGAGCTGGGGATGAGACTGGGGGATTGGATTATAGGAGAAGAGGGAGAGTGAAGATCATCTGGCTGCTTCCCTGGTCAGCGTGGCAGGTGGGCATCCAGGGAAAAATCAACGATTAACTTCCCTGATATTCTCAGAAGGCTTGCCTCCCCTCTGACATCACAGGGGAAGTTTCACCCATGACTCTCTACGTGTCAGCTGTTCATTCCATGTCCTAGGCCAGCTATCTGCAGCACAGTGGCCTGCTGCGTGACTGACATTTTTTATTTCAGTGTTTTGCGACATACACTTTCTTGTCATCAGTAGTGTGTGTGTGTTTTCATGTGTTACAGGTGTCAGTGCCAGTGTGTATGTGGGGCCCTGTGCATGTTGTTTATAAGTGTGTAAAGTGAAGATCACAGTCTTTCCACTGCAGAACGTGGTAAGCTTTGGTGAGTGACTACACCCATAGAAACCCCATCATATCACAGTGGGAAACTATTGCCCATGTTGCTTTCCCATTCAGCCCTTCCTGCCCTGCCAGACCTAGGAAGACATGGATCTGTAAGCAGTCCATGAAGCTTTGGTTCTCCACTCTGACGACTTCTGACTCAGATCACTCGGCCCTGTCACCGTTAGGCTGGTGAGAGGACATTACCTCAGGGAAGAAGCACACAGCAGATCACAGATGTTTACCTTACAACCAGGTAGAAAAAGAGAGGAAGGTTCTGGGAGTCCTAAACTCTCCTTCCAGGGCTCCCCTACAGTGTCTAAAGACCACCTATGAGGCCCCACATTGTAAAGGCTCCATTATCCCCCTGTGGCCTGATGAGGTCCACAACTTCACCTTAAGGACCTTTAGGGAACACTCCAGATCCAGATTCTAGCAGTTCCATTGGGTCACTGGGTCATGCTCACCTGCTGATGGACATCTGAATTGTGTGGGAGCTGTGAACAGCTGTGCTCCAATTTGTAGAGCAGACATTTTCATTTCACTTGGGTGAATGACTAAGAGTAGGAGTTCTGCACCATACCGTTTGTGTTCAGCTATGCAGGACACTGCTGGACTGTTAGCCAAAGCAGCAATGTGTTTTGCATTCTCATGTAGGACAGCTGTGAGCTGTAAGACTAGGTTGTTACCCTCCCTCCTCCCGGGTCGCTCTTTTTTTTTTTTACAATGGAGTTACTGTTAACAGCCAAAGGCTTTAGGACCAATCTAGAAAAGCTAGTGACATTTTGTAAATTCCTGAACTATTTCCTCCTAAAATCTTCCCTAGAATGACTCAAGAAATTTTCTAAGAGAGGAGAGTGGGGATGCTATGAATGTCTGTAGTCTAGCACTCGTATCTCTCATTTTATATTTTCTTTCCTTAAAAAAAAAAAAAAAAAAAACCACAACGACATAGTTTTTGGTTGGTATATTTGTCAGCTTTCCCTCTCTATTATAAATGCTTGAAATAAGCAACTTACTGGAAGAAAGGTTAGTTCTGACTCTCGGTTTTGGAAGCTTCACAGTCTTTTGTTCCTGAGGCTTTGGGGGTCTGTGTAAGCTGAGGACAGAATAGGCTCCCCGGGTAAGGTATCGACAGAGAGCAAACACTGCCATATTCCAATGATGTCCAACATGGGGATATTGTGAACATACATTTTATTACTTAATATTCACTTCGTTTTCATCTGGTCAGATATTCTGTAAGTCCTTATACTTCACGGTTTCATTCAGTACTCACAAAACTTTGTAGAAGTACACATTTTCACCTGCATTTTTTTTATTTGAAAAAAAAAAAAAAAACTAAGTACTTGGGAGTTTAAATAATTTTCTAAGACCTGGTAAGGAAGTGGAAGAAAATCTTGTAGACAGCTCATCTCTTGTCGTTAAGCCCTGAAGTCATGTAGCCCCTGTTGATGGGATGGATCTGCTTTGACTGAAGCATCTTCTAAGACTCCTGAGTCATTCACCTGGGAGCTCCAATCAGGAGTTCACTGTGTGCTGCTGAATGAGAGACTTCATTTCTAAACTACCTGACTGGAAGAAGAGAGACTTTGAAATCGTTCAGAATGTGGCAGATGGCCAGAGAGAAAGCTGGAAAGGGAGAGGGAGCCAGCAGAACTGTGGGAAAGAGCCAGCAGGATCATGGGGAGAGGCAGTGGACTGGTCTGAATCTGGGGCTGTAATAAGCTAGCTGTTATTGGTTAGTGTTATTGAACCTTCTTTATTCATTTGTTAGACATTCGTTATAAGACTGGCCTTTCAGAGGGTATGCGAGAAATGTCGTAGGGGCGTGGTGTCCTGGCGTATTGTAAAGTTCAGCATACCCTGGTTCCTTCTTCTTCTTCGATGGGAAGCCATCGTTTTGAGAGAGTTTCCTTCACGGACACAGTGAAATATGATCTTCCCACTTCTGTCCAACATGCACACCCGAACTTCATGTCAATAACCATTATGTCCAATTAGTGCTACTCATGTGTCTAAGAACATGGCTCTATTCCATATTGGAGCACAGAGAACATACTGGTGCAGTGCCATTAACAAAGACTGGCTCTCCTGCTCCGAGAAGCTAACAACTGCCAGGACCTCCTCAGTAAGACATGTGGCCTGGAGATCATCTACCCCACCTACATCTGGACTTTGGTGGCTTGATCTTGTGCAGGTAACAACAGCCGCTGGGAACTGATGAATGCGATAGATGTGTCAGGTTCAGAAGACACCATTTCACGGCGCTCGTCCCCATCACCTGTTCAATGTCCTATTCCCAGAACTTCGACTAAGTATGAATATATGGGCCACTGTCCACTGTAGAAAGAAGCTTCTCTGCTTTAGGCCGAGAGCAGCCTGGGTCTATGAGTATAACATAACACATAGAGGACAATTTGATAACAAGATCATTTAGCAAAATAACAAGAACGAGTTTTACCCCAGGACCTAAGATTATCCTAGTGATGAGCTTTTGACTCGGGTTACAGCACACGGCATGAAATCCCATCCTGTGGAGCAGGCCTCAGAAAGCAGTGAGTGACCCCAGGGCAGTCACGCCACTACTAAACCAGTGAGCTCATCCGCCATCCTAGCCTGGATGCAGGACCCAGCTCTGAGTGAGAGCATCGCTCTCCTTCTCTTCCTGCAGCCTACATAGCACCTTCTGGCTTTATGAAAACTGGCCAAGAGAAAAGAAGTTTCCTGGTTGGTTTAAGGTCGATTTCTCTGTGTTCGGAATTTGAGTGTGTGGTGTGTCGAGTAATAGGGCCTTCCCTTGTAGTTATGGGGTGAGGGTTTACAAAGGGCAATGGCAATTGACAATAGCCTGTCTTGTTTTGCAGACCCCTGGGGCTTCCCTGACCAACACCAGTGCTGATTCCATTCAGACTCTTTTCATTTTTAAAGTTGAACTTTGAAATTAGTTTCCTAACCACTGGATTTTTCATAAGGCTCCTTTATACAGTCTTAGTTTTAGTTAACTCACTTTCCATTCCCCCTTTTCCTCCATTCCCTAGCTTCTACTCGTGCTTAATCCTTTAACTGTTAATATTCCCCTCTCTTATTTCATTTCACATCTCTTCTCCTATCCCTTCAATTTTTATTTCTAGCTTGGGTTTTGAGATAATAGCTTTTATGTTGTTTTTCATACCACCTTCCTTCAGGGAAGCCCTCCTTTCCCTGCTTTTCCCTGTATTAAATATTAAAAAAAATAATAATCCAATTAGAAACGGGCTGTGGAACTGAACAAAAAAATGTTCTCAAGAGAAAAAATGCAAATGTCAAGGAAACACCTAAAGAGTTCTCTGTCTCCTTAGCCATCAAGGAAAGGAACAGGAAAACGGCCGTAGAGTTCTTCCTCCCTCCAGTCAGCGTGGCCACTACAGGAGGACAAAAGCCATCAAGTGCCGGTGTAGCTGTGGGAAAGGGAAACCCGTTCAGTGTCGGTGGGATGATAAACCGGTGCAGCCCCTTTGGAGACAAGTCTGGAGCTATTTCAATACCAAGAAATAGCGCTTCCGTGTGAGCTAGTAATGCCTCTCCTGGGCATATACCTAGCGGACCTTGTAACCTACGAGAGAGACTCTTAAATTGTGCCCATCGCTGCCCTATTCACAACAGGTAGGAAATGGAATCAACTAGACGTTCACCACCACCAGATGAATGGGTCAAAAAGTGGCTTATACATAAATACAATATTACTCAGCTCTAAGGAAAAATGGAATTTGCCAGTTAGTGGCTGGAACTGGAAATACTATTTTGATAAGGCTAGAAAGACAAAGGTTCAACGTTTTCTCTAATAGGTGGATTCTAGCATCAAATCTTTTGATTTGGGTGTTTAACCAGGAGCCCAAAAGGAGGCCAGGAAACTAGAAAGGGAACTTCTGTGAGAAAAGGGAGTAAATTAAGGGAGGGAGGATAGTAGATTACTGGTGGCTGAAAGGCTTAAGCTGGCAGGGTTTTAAATATGATGGCAGCAATTCCTATAATAAATAAATAAATAAATAAATAGATAGATAGATAGATAGATAGATAAATAAATAGATAAATAAATAAATAAGTAAAGTTTATTGTACTTGTGTTAATATTTGATCTTTCTCCCAAAGAAATATCTTATATTTTATATCTGATAATTTTCTCTGATATTCTCTAGAAATTTCTGTTTATTATGCATAATACAAACTTGTGTGTGTATACAAGAGTAAACAAACAATTAACGCTTGCTAAGAATATCATAGAGAATTGCTTGAAAGCAGAGCCTGGGTGTCTCTGATCCATGCATGCCTTTGGTGGGCTGTACTTCATTTTCAGGTAAACCCTGTCACCTGAGGCTTGCAGCCAGTCACTGGATGTCACCGCTGTGCTGTGTCATGTCACAGAACAAGTGTGACACTTAGTATGGGAGGCATGCACAAATTCTTCAATGCTTAGGGATGTGCTGCCCCGCCCCCACAACCTGCGCCTCCTGCAGGACGTTTCTTTTAGTTTAGCTGACATCTAGGCACATGCATAGCCTAGTAATCGAAACCAAACAATATTGTTAGCCCAGAGCCAAAGATCTGAAACCTGAAAACTCAAGATATGTGGCAAAACTGGTCTGGGCTCCTTCCCACAGGACGCTGGATGGCTTTGCAGATAAGAACCTGCTGTAAGGCTGTGGAACCGCTCCCCGGAAGTGGCAGGGAAGTTCAGAAGGTAGACTTGGAAGGCAGGAGGTCCCTGTACAGCTAGTTCTGCAAGATTAGGACTGGGCTAATGCAGGTGAGGTCCCCCAGGGGCGACTATGGCCTCCACTACAGGACTTCCTGCATCAGAAAACAAGCCAGTGCTCAGCCTCGGCCTCAGGCTCCTCCCTGTAGTGGATTTGTGAAGGAATTTTCTTTCAAGTTTCAAGCAAAATGCAGATGCAGACTGCGTCGATCTGGAGGTTGTCATATTCTGGGTGGCCGGTGTCAGCCGCACTGTGCTGTCTGCCGTGCTGCTCTCAGAACCAGCTCTAGAAAATCCCGCTTTGCCCCTTCTGCCCCACCGCCTGGAATCCTCTCCTCTCAGTAGCCACCGGCTTTTCCTCCATTCCAGACCTCTCTCCAGTGGGACCTCCTTGGTTGGCTTCCTTCATGTTTACTCCAAGCAGAACTTCCTTTCGTCAGGCTCCCCCCTATCTGCTTTATCCTTTATACTGCCCTCCCACATGTGTTTACTCCTCTCTGCCTGCGCTCCTGAACTCCAAGCCCTGCGTAGCAGTCGTTAGAGGCCGACCTGTGGACACAGCTGCTCTCCCAGCACTGGTCAGGAGCTGTCTCCAGCAAGAAGGATGAAATGATGGAAGGCAAGGGAAAGAAACGTTTTTCTCAATGCTTCTTGGCCGTAAATAGCTCTGCATTATAGTCCTTGAGCAGCTCAAATCCGAAGCCACCAGCTGGGTGGTTTAAACAGACATTCGCAACTTGCTCTTCTGAAGTTTGGAAGTCTGAGATCCAGGTGTCTGCAGGTTAGACCTATTGGAGAGCATGGAAGAGAGTGTGTTGCATTTCTCCCTCCAGGATCCCAGACATTGAGGCAAATCTTTGGTATCCGTTGGCTGGTAGAAGCGTCACTCACGCATTTCCTTCATCTTCATCTACCCAGCAGTCCATTTGTCTTCCTCTTCATATATCCCTGTTCTTATGAGCCCATCTATCTCCAAGCCTACTTACACATAAAGATATCTACAACTGGAGGGAAGATCATGTTACAACTGTGTCACGGCACATGTGTTACCACACTAACTATACATTTACCCTATTTCAAAGAAAGTCGTGCCCCGACGCTGGGCTCTAGAACTTCGGCCTGTAAATTTGGAGGGAATCAAAGATCGATCCATATCAAAGCCTTAGATGAACGTATTTAGTATTCCTTCAGCTCTTCTCGGGGTCTTGAGCAGTGAAATGGATCTAATTACATCATTCTAGTCCAGTAGTGTGCTGGCTTATCCCACAGGAAACAGTACACAACAATACATGTGTATTGCTGTGAAGACGGTAAGCTATTGCTAGCATCATCTTTTGGATATGTTGACAAACTACTGATGCTCTAGCAATAAGAAATCACTACCATAAATTACTAGCGCCAAAATGCCACCAAGCAAACTTCCTTTATAGCCCAGCTAAGAGTGCAGACTATTACAGACATTACCTGATTTCCCCACGATGGGAACAAAACCACTCAGACTGCTCTTCATCTTTAATTATGGATAATTGCCTCATATTTTATTTACTCATTTGACAAACAAGTGCAGATCATTTATTATGTATTATTATATGTGCTAAGTGTGTGACAGATATTAACTCACAATCACCCCCTGTTGATTTCTATTATTAATAATTAATACTACCTACATTTTACCATAAGAGAAACTGAGGCCCTGAACGATGGGGGAGCAGCCACGGTGCCTATATACCGGGTGGTGGTGGTGTATCTCCCGGGGCCATGAAGCTAAGAGAATTCCCTCTAAACTTTTGAGCTGCAGAATCTGTTCTAGTCACCAAAAGTTCTTGGGAAGAACACAAAGGATCTGCTTTGGCTCCCGACGAGGGGCCAGCGCACTCTGCCCAGCACCACCTGCTGCTTTGTTTACCAGGCTTGCTATAGGAAATACCCCCTCTTGGCGGGATGCCTCGTGTAAGCCATCCTCAATCCACCCTAGCATAAAACAAATAAAGCCTTTCCTCACTTTAATTAACTGATTGTGTTTTATTTTGAAAAATTTATCTGTCTAATCTACTTCTGGCTGACATAAAATGCTAACATGGATTTTCCTCAGGATGATAATGCCATATGGTTGCTTGGACTTTGCTATGCCCCTTCTCTCCCTCCCCCCACTCCTATCTGTGATTTCTTTTTTCAACCCGGGGACTGTAGGCACAAAAGTTTTCAGAACCAAAGAGAAGTGGAATTTCATTTCATATAGGCAGTGTTGGATGTAAAGCTTCCAGACCATAGAGATCTGACCTCTCTCCCTTGTTATGGATGGCTTGTCTCCTGAGGTCATTAGGAATATAAAATCAGAGGGGCAGTAACATTGCTGTTTGCTGTCCTTCGGTCCACTGAGTGCCTCCCACAGTGAGCCATGAAAACAACTCAAGTTGCGTCTCTAGGGGGTTGTCCCCCTTATTTTACAGACATATAAGCTAAAGTTTTACATAACTCTTACTAGTAACTAGTGAGCAGGGAAGAGAAGAGTAATTGAGGATCACTTATCAGGCATTAAGGTGAGATCTGATTGTTATTAAGAATGGAAGGCAGAGAAGAAAATGTATTTTAGGATATATGAATTAGCTCCAATGTATCAGATTAGCAAAGACTAAGAAAGCAGGGCACTTTTTTTCTAAAGTTTCATTTTTCAGCGAGAAAATGCATGCACATGTGCACGCACATATGGAAAGGGAAAATGAAAGTACTTCAGTCCAGTGAGGCTATGGAGCAGCTCATTGCAGGGGAGAAGAGAACTCAACCCAAGCCCAGAGATGGCCTTGCTTGCCTCTGATTGCCCACGGCCACGGTCCCTGTTCCCTGCAACACCATGACGCAGAATTTTTTTTTTCTAGAAATAAATATTTTAGTTTTGCTTGCTGTGTACTGCTTCTGTGGTAAATGCTATACTTCTGTGATATTGTGGGGCCAAAATATCAGGTAGCATATGCCAGCAAACGGCCACAGCTGAAACCTCACACACAGACACTGTTTTAATTACTGTTGTGTTTCTGTGACCATAGACAACATAGGGGTGGAGGGTCTATTTTGACTCGTTTCTGAGAGGTTTCACTGCCTCATGGTGGGAAGGTAAAAGAGCAGGAGCACACAAGATAGACTTGTGCAAGATGGCAGATCGGGTACCAGAAAGGGAGTTTGAAAAGGGCCTTCAAAGGCGACATAGGCTAGCTGTTCCTCAGGACCCAAAACTTTCACAGTCATCCCAAAGCAGTACCACCAGCCAGAGGAACGGCTGCACCAAACATGAACCTCTGGTCATTTCGAATTCGAACTACATGTGTTTTCTGAATTCAGGGCTTACAAATTTCAACTTCACATGCATTTCACATTTCATGAGATGACATACTTTCCAATTATTTGCAAACATTCAAAAGGATCAGAATACACTTAGGTTGTAGGCTGTGTAAGCCGGGGGAAACCAGATGGAAGGCGCAGAATGTAGCTTGCTGACCACCTCCTTTGAGTTTCTGAACACATCCTTTACGGTCTCTACGGGGTTTTGCACAACATCTGAGCATTCAGATGTTGTGGTGGAGCAGGTTCCTAATCCTGGAAGAGACTTCGGCGGCCCAGGAGGGAGAAGGACTTCCATGTTGTTCCACACGGTAGACCCACGAAGTTGAAGCTGCCAAATTGAGTTCGGCTGAAACAAAAAGAGCGGTTGCTGCCTTCTGAGAGGATTTGCAATAAAATGGAAAATTCTTGGCACGCCCTGTCAATTTCATTGAAGATTAAAGGATAAACAGAGGGCTTTGTGGCTTCCCCTGAGGCAATCTTCTTTCAGAGTGCTGTGGGCCAATATAAAAAATCCTCTCTGTCTTTTAGTAGCACGGGTCATTGCTGGATTTTAGGCATTTTGTTGTTTCTTTGTGGGGGAGATAGTCTGAATGGTGTGGAAATATCCTTGAGCTTGGGGCGGGGCGCAAAACAGAGTTTGAGGTTTGCCTCTGTTAGTTTTTCTGTGACCTTGGGCAAGTTGACATCACTAAGGGATGCTAAACTTCCTAATCAGTAGAGAAGGTTCAATAATTCTCTCCTCAGATTTTTACTGTAGCTTGTTTTCACCTGGTTAATTTCTCACCAGTGTGACAAAGTGTCTGAGGCTCAACGTAGAGGATGGTAGACTTACCGTGACTCGCAGTTTTGGAAGGGAGGCTCTGTGGTGGGAGCCTGTGGGAGAGTTCCTCACTCAGAGCCTGAGCCAGGAGGTGGACTCTGGATCAAAAGCAGGGCTGGCTCCTTTCAGTGACCCATACAGCTTAGCCAAAAGTCATCTCCTGAAGGCTCCCTAACGTTCCCAATCAGCACCATCAGCTAAGCGTCAGGTGTCCGAACACACTAGAGAATGTCGTAGGTTCAAGCCACTTACCGTCTGCCAAACTTTTGAATAAGACAAGAAAGTTATCTTTATCCCAACTCCATCTTTACTGTGTATTCCTCCACAGCAGGTACGGTTGTCATCATTTTACCCAGAAATATCTCAGCAAGTGCCACTAATAGACATGATTTTCTAAAAGGATGTCTTAATTCCTTTAAGCTTAGAAACATAAAAGGTTGTCTCTCTTTCTCTTTCTGTGTGTGTGTTTGTGCGTGTAGGCAGGATCTCATCCTGGAGCCCAGGCCGATCTGAAACTTACTTTGTTAAAGCTGTGAGACATTCATATTCTCTACCTTTGTGCATTTGGGTTTCTTCCATTGTTTTCCATTACAGAATCCTTTAGTAAACAGCTTTTATAGAGTTCCTACACGACACACACAACCCAGTTTGATTATAACTGTATTTCTAATTTCACCGGTGTCTAGTAAACACTTACAGTCAGATATAACAGAAAATAAAGCAGGGGCCCTCTCTAGAGATTTTACAGTCTAAGATGCTACTAAACATTTGATGCTAAAACTTTGATCATAGGGAAGGGGAGGAGGACCTCCCCTATCAGTGGACTGAGGGAGGGGCATGAGAGGAGAAGAGGGAGGACATGGGACTGGGAGGGGACGAGGAAGGGGGCTACAGCTGGGATATAAAATGAAAAAATTGTAATAATAAAAAAACCTTTGATTATGACAAAACTCCTTTATGCTGTGTTGCTGAGCTAACTTATGTTTTCCTAAAGCCAGCGTTCATCATGACAACTGTAACCGTGACCTCAGAAGTTCCCCCAAGAAGTAAGAGAGAAGACGACTCTGTCTTGTATGGATCTACATCAGCTTACATCACTGAAGAAACTGAGTACGTGAGAAAGGTATGAAGGCAGCAGACATCATCTACGGGACACGGTCGTTTTAGGATAAGCACCAGCGTGGACTGGTGGGCTCTGTTTCCTTACCCATGCGACTTATGGAAACGAGGCATCCTTGCTTGGCTTAGGCCAGTGGACAGCTTAGATTTAAACATGGTTAGTCAGTTTTCTTTAGAATATGAACCCGCGCCTACGTGTGAAGTAAAGTGATTTTCTCCGCTCAGTAAACTGAATAATGGCCAGGAGGGTTCTGAACACCTGTCAGCATTTAGCTCCTACCCCGCCATCCACTGCTGGGTTTCCTGCTGTTTTCTAACCTTCCCTGGTGGTTTCCTGAATGTGGAGGTTGTGCTCCCAATTAGGTGTTTATGTTGCCTGTTGATCCTTGCTCTCTTTCCTTGCCTCCTCTGAATGCACTTTCCAGCTAGCCAATGCCAGTGACTCCTCTGCAAGAGCCTTCCTTAGAAATGTAACTTATGAGACTCCTCTATGAAAAGAACTAACAAAAGATGTTTGCATCAACTGTCTATTACAACACAGAAGAATTCCGACATTGATAGTTTGTAATTTGTTCATATCAGCTAATTAAATTATCTTGGACTATCTTTGTAATTCCACAGGTCAGCAAGATGAAGCTCAAATTTCATGCATAAATTCATATGATCATGTCTTAGTGATTTTTTGTAGTAATTACTGATAGCAATTATTTTGTGGTAATTACTATGTAGTAATCATTTTGTAGTAATTACTATATAATAATTATTTTGTAGTGATTACTAAGTAGTAATTGTCTTATAGCAATTACTAAACACTAAATTAGTACTGAATTATAGAAGAGAGTGAACAAATGCACAGTTTTAAGGTACTAATTACTAAATTATTTTACAGTATAATTAATTTAGTTTGCCATATTTTAGGCTTATCTGAAAAAAAAGAGATATAAAAAACCCAAACAGTTATTTTCATTAATCTAAACAATATAAACCTAAACATAATTTAGGTTAGAGGCTAATATTTAAATCTGACATCAGGATACATGTGTAAAAAAGGCGCCCTGTAACTGGTATAAAGAAAGAAAAATGCATTTGTAATTAAATGCCTCGTAAACAAATTCACTATTTTTTTTCCCCTCCAGATTCGAACTACCCTGGAGAAGATCCGAAGTCACATGTTTACAGATGAACAAGGACATGGCAATGCCAGTCACAAACTGGATGCGGAGGTAGTAAGTGCATCGAGAGCCATTACTTGCATTGTTTCAGAAAATTAACACGAAGCCATATAAATTTCTATTCAATCAACTTTGCCGGCTAATACTCTTTGAAGCCGAGTGCTAAAATATTTCATGCATGTCTAACATCTAAAGATGTTAATGCCTCTATGTGTGACATGATCATCAGGGATATCATTACAAGGATCAGATCAGAATGGGCAGACCCTTGCTGGAATATTGCAAACAGAACATAATTATGAACCATACAGCAAGATGTCAGATCAAGGAGACTACATGGCAGCAACACATGTTGCTTCAGTGATCAAGGTGTAAGCGTGCAAGCCTACTTTGGGGCACAGCAACTGACAGACAGTAAATTCAGTGAGGACTTTGCTGATCAATAAGTTTAAGACCTTCCTCTGATTCCAATAGCATCTTTGTGTACTTAAGTTTGAACAAATCTAGCTCATTGGAGCCACGTGCATCTCATTGGCATTACTGACTATAAACCATATTCACACAACACATGAGGAGGTAGTATATGCAAAGGAAACATAGGCCCCTGTGTCACTCTCAGCTTCCAACCTAACACAGCTGGTGCTAAAGACTTTCTTACGTTAAGTGCTCCAAAGCGAAAAGGGGTTATGTAGGGGTATGGCAAAGAAGATAAGATTGATCATCTTACTCAGGGTCCTCCTTTTTGCTTAGCTTCTTTAGGTGCACAGATTTTAGTATGTTTATCCTGTTTTATATATCTATCAGTGGGTAGACATACAATTTAGATTTGAGGGGCCTAATCTGGATTGGAAGTTCAGGATTCGATATTCAGAACTGAGACATTATGGTTGGTAATGTTCTGAAAGTGGAGCTGAGTTTGACATTGAGCAGGAGGACAAGAGAGAAAGGGCTGCCTGGTTGACATGGCAAGACTTTAATCTCCAGAATAAATAGTAAAATACAATAGTCTTGACAGTGGAGAGGATTATATAGTAAGTGAGTATACGTATAAATGATGGATGACCTAAAGGCATAATGATGAGCTTCCCAAAGCTTGTGTCCATGCAAGAATGAAAAGCATCCCAGAGGTTGAAATGGATGCTGGAGGATTAGGAAGAAGAGCAGTAGAGGATGGAGCTCCTGAGGGTGGGCAGGAGTAACTGTGCAGTGCTGCCCGTGCAAACCGAGAACTGGCCAATGGCCACTAGAAACACTGAAGTGGAGTTTTGCTGACCTTGCTAGGAGTGTCTCTGTGTGAATGGAGAGGACATGCTGCTTCTGTGATGGAGGATCTTGCTACCATGTCAAGTGTGGGCTGCTGGCTTGGCAGCAGCATCTCCATAGGGTTATTAGATTCGTACTGTCTAGGCCTCCACCCAGGCCTCCTGACTGATAGTCTGTAGCCTTTTCCCATCAGCTAACTCCTATGAGGACAATTATCTTATCTCTTTTATAACCGTCAACTATAGCCAGCAATCTACCTTCTGGAAGACTCTGTCAGTTATTCTGTAGTATATATCTATATACTGTCAGGGAAGGTATGCACACAAGGTCTGGACCACAAAAAGAAAAGCCAAAGAGTTACGGTGTATGTGTTATGTGCTTGGTTTTTATTTCTGAACTATAGATAGTTTATTGTAGTGGAAAAAGTATAGGTTTAGCTGTTAAGCAATCTCAGACTCTAAATCTGGTCTCATGATTATTTATATAGGTGTAACTTTAGCTCTAACTGTCAACTTGACACAGCCTAGAACCACCTGAGACAGGAAACTCAACTGAAGGATTGCCCTGATCAGATTTATCTGTGTGAGGTTATCCTGGTTGTCAGTTGAGGTAGAAAGGCTCAGGTCATGGTGGGTTGAACCATTTCATGGGCAGGTGGCCCTGAGTTGTAGAAGCAAGCTAGCTATGTTTGAATGAATGAGCATACAGTGTTCCTCCATAGTTCTAAAGCCCCACACCAGATCCTTCACTGATTTTCCTCAATGACAGACCTGGAAGTTTATGGGGGATAAATTCTTTCATCTCCCAAGTTGATTTTGATCAGAGTGACTTTTTTTTTTTTTACAGCAGCAAAAATCAAGCTAGAACACTTGAGTATATGAGACTCTATAATTTTAACTTTTCTCACTTTTATAAAGAATATAATGATCTCTTGTATTTTAAGCATCCAGGGAAAGAGGGTATATAACATGGAAGGCATAACGTCATGCATCATAGATGCTTAACAAAGAGAAGTTGTTATGAAAGCCACGGGGTATGTGGAGTTGCAAGGTAGTGTTTCTATCCGCCATGAAATACGGTGAAGGAGCAGACAGTGCAGACGATGACCAAGAAGCTATGTCGTGAGCTATTGTGCTTGCTTGCATAAGCGTCAACTCTACTCCTCAGTTTCCACATCCATGACACTGGTGGGCTAAGCTGTTTTCTAGTTTCCTTTTCACCTCCATATGCCTGTGACTCCACATGAGATGTCTGTTCCAGGGAGCATGGCTTTGCACGGGATCACATCGCTGTGGTGCTCTATTCTGATATCTGATTAGAAATTCAATATGAAGTGATTGCAAGGAAACACCATTAACACTGAATGTTACCAGGTCCAATTCTGTTTAACCAAAATCTATTTATAAGCATGACTTTAATTAATCCAGTCTCATGGTTATTGCTTGTTATGTATTTAAATGTATTTAAAGCTGCAGGAAGTGTGAAAGGCATAAAAAGATGTATGAGACTATGTTTAAATTTGAGTGGACACAGAAGCTAGCTCGTTAATCTAGAACTAATCACCAGAAGTTGAGATTCAGAGAGTTGTTTATGCAGGCTTGAATTCTCTTTGACTTGTGTGGAGAATGATAATCATTGCTGCCCATGTTCCTAGAGGAAAGGGATAGTCCACTCAATGCTTTGTGTGTTTATTTCAGAGATCTGGAACAATTCAGAATGGATCTGATTCCGCAATAGACCCCACCAGTTTGGATTTGCTCCTGGAAAACATGAGAAGAAAAGACCAGCAGCTGCTAGAAATGAACAAAGAGAATGAAGTGTTGCAAATCAAGGTATGGCTACTAGGAGCTCAGAGTAGTTAGCCTTCATGGGTCTGTTCATACTGGGAAATGCCCACTCACACCCAGAAGCCATTCTGTGCAAGCACGTGGCCAAAATGTTGGAAGGTCATACAAATGAACCTTACTGTTTGATTTTGGAGATGACTTTTAGTGTTGAAGAAATCTTCTGAAGGTCCATGGCTAGAAAGTCCTAGTTATGAAAAAGTGCCAGGTTCTGGCAGCTTCTGAAATGGCATCACAACTGCGGGTAACAGTGCTGTGTGTACTTACACATTTATTAAGCAGGGAGCTCTCAGGCTAACTTGCTTTTTACCACAGCGCAGTTTGAAAAGAGTTTGCATGCCTGTGAAATATCAGAGGTAGGGGATACCTTAGTCAGCGAGGTGCTTGCTCTACAGGCTTGAGAGCCTGAGTTAGAGCCTCTCCACCAACAGAGAGAGCTATGCATTGAGGTATGTGCTTGCAGTCCCAGTGCTGGGGAGGCAGAGGCAGGAGGATTTCTGAGTCTGCTAACCAGACATCTTAGCCTGATCTGCTTCAGGACCTACCAAGAGACTCCATAGTAAGGAAAAAGGAGACAAGATAGAATCTGAGGAAGGACCAACATTGACTTCTGGCCTCTGTATGTGTATATATAAACTGTGCATCTTCACCCCCACATCTGTGCACACGGGAACACGCACATATGTCCCCAAACCCAAATACTGATTCCAGTCTTTATTATCAGATGCCTCAGTCATTGTCTAATTAATCTATTGTTGAGTGCTTTCTGTTTCCCCTTTGGGGTTAATTTTATGTGCAGCCTCAAAAGGATTACCGTGTATGTAGACCTCCACAGTCAGGCATGATCATTTCCTTAGGTTATATCCTTGAAAGATTGACACTTGAACCTCAGGGCTCTTAACTGCTCCCGTCTTGTCCCACTTCTATTTCTATAAAGAGAGCTGCATTTGTTGGTTAGCTGTGAACACTGGTGATAAAAGGCTTGCCCCTAAGTGCACTGCCAGGGTGCCATCTACCTGTGCCAAGCACTCAGGTTTGGCTTGACCATGGCAGATGCCCACGTTCAGTGCCCTACTAGAGAGTATCATCATTTAACACTCTGCTCTTACTCAACGCCATCAACTTCTCTCCCCTAAATTATCTGTCAGGATGCAAATCGTGATTAGGGACCGCTTTTAACTGACCGCACAACCGTTCTGCTTTTAGCTCTTTTTGTTGGAAATATTAAAACATGCTGGGTGACTTTTGTTTTTCGTAGCTGGAAGCTTCCAGAGAAGCAGGAGCAGCAGCTTTGAGAAACGTGGCGCAGAGATTGTTTGAGAACTACCAAACACAGTCTGAGGACCTGAAGAAAAAGCACGAGAACAGTAAACATTTGCTGCAGGTACTATCCCCAGCCACAGCTCAGGGACTGGAGAGCTCAGTTCCGCCTAGCCATAGGTGGCAGGCATATGTTAGGGGCTCATCCCTGACCCGAGCGATGGCAAGAAGGCTCACCTGGTGTTTTCAGAGGCAGAGACATAGCTCATTTTCTACTGTGCCGTTTTGAGTTCTGTTTTATATAGGCATATGAACTACAGAGGAAGTCAGTTGAAGACCCCTCCCTAATGGGGACACGTCCGTGCCTGATCTAGCTGTAGCTACATATCTAACAAGCAACCTTGGGGCACAGTGGGGGTAATTATCCTGCTTAAGACATTTTCTGATAGAAAGGAAACCACTTTTAATTGGATATACAAGATGTTATATTTTGTTCTAGGTAAAGGATAAAAACAAAAGACTGGTAACTTTTTTTTCTGACCACAGATAAACAACCTTGAAAAGGAGCAGGCATTAAAGCAACAAACTGAAAGCCTGAGTCAACTTTCAGAAAAACTCGAAGCAAAACACGTCCAAATCATAGGGCTGGAGAACCGCGTACAGAGGATGGAAAACGTAAGTCCCCGGAGAAGCAGAGGCGTTTCTTCCCAACAGTGTTGTAGAAAGGGAGTTAGAGTGATGAGTTGGAAGTCTTCCTTGGAGTGCGGGACTGTGGGGCATGCTTCATAATTCTGCTTCTCCTCTTAGACACTTCCTACGACCCACTCTGTAGTTACTGGCTGCCTGAGTCCTCCTTTCATGGGCTGGGAATGAAATAACGGGTTAGCTCACAGAGTGGCTCTGTTTAGAGCAACAGCACAGTGGATCCCTGTAATGTAGCACTTAGAAATTTTAGAATTGGGCTGTCATATACATTTTTTTTTTTTTTTAGCAACCCACGACTACATGGGGTTTATACCAAACTGACTACAAAATGTGTGAGAGAAATGTTACCATTGGAACTCTCAAAAGGTCTATTTAGGGAAGAGCAGGGGAAAAAAAAAAACACTGAAAGGCTCCTGGAATAGATCCCAGTGGTTATCACTACAATATAAATCACATAAATTTAGACTGTGCTTTTGAATTCAAAACTCAGATAAAATAAGGACATGATCTTTTTACTAGCAAAACAAGTGGGCATCCAAAACCAAAGTATGAGTAAATGAGAATACAGTCTTAGGCTTATTGTAAGTAATGCCCTGTTCATCTCTCACTCATTCTGTCCCTGGTCTGGCCCCAGGTCTACTCAGCCTTCAGGTGTTTGAGTTTTCCTGGGTTTTTGCCATTAGGGAACTTCCACTTCCTGGGCATTACATTTCTGTACTGTGCAGGTTTCCGACCAAAGGGAATTTAATTAGTTTTAAAATATATCTCAATAATGTAAAATTTGATGCCAGGAAATAAGTATGACATGAGCACAAACATAACAGGACCTGATAATGATAACAGCATTCACCCACATCTCTGTTAGGCCATGGGTCACTGTTGTCTTTCCCAGAACCACTAACTCATCCTTGGCAGTCTGCTTACCCCGGCATGCCAGTTTATAATTTTTTGGAAAACCTTCAGTGTTTGTTGAGTGTACGATAGTGTTAGAATATCTTATCTTGCAGTAAATAATTTGAAGGACTAAGACGGCACAGCACATGTTTGCACGAAGGGTAGAAAGACAATTCTGTAAAGCAAATAGAATTACCTAACCAAACAACTGATTAAACAAGTGGAAATGGGAGATTAGATGAGATCTCCATCAGTAAAACACAGAGTCAGGCTAACGGCCACCTTTGGGTGCATGAAACTTCATGAAAGAACAGTGGAGGGAAATTCCCTCTCGTGGCAACTCCTGGAGTTCTGGGCTTGACGCAGCTCTGTCAGACTCCTGGAAGTGTTGCGTGCTGTTACTTCAAGGTCTTTGAGCACCTACCATGTGCTACACACGCACGTGCTGCCCACAGTCGGGCACGAGAGATGCAGTAACACTTGAGAACCAGCTGGAGATAATCACTCTTCATGGGGATTACAGCGTATATAACTAGACTGTTCTGAGCGTAAGGAACTTTGCAGGTTTCCTGTTTTTTTTTGTTTTTGTTTTTTTTTTTTTTTTTAATTCTCCTAACAGTCTTTTGGAAAAGCTGTCAGCCCACTTGAGGTAGGACAGTGTATCCAAGAACATTGATCCTGACCAATAATTGTGATTCTCGCTCAGAGCTCTGTGACACCCTAAGTAGATAGGATGCCATGCTCAAGCAAGGCCATGAGACAAACTTCCAGATTCTCTATTCAGGGGCAGCTAGCTTGGGGGCTGTGAGAGTCTCTCCATTTAGGGGAGGTTAAGGGCAATTAAACAGAGGAGCAATGAGCAAGACTTGTTTTAAAACACGTTTAGCCTAACGTGGGTTCATCTCCTCCAAATGTGTGGAAATAAGTAAAACAAACAGCAGAACTTAGTAACACCTTCCTGGGCTCAGGAGATAATGAGAAGAGGGGCTCTATGGAAGTTTCCTGGGTGGGGAATGTGTCTCAGAATAATAGGGAGTATGCTGACCCTTCTGTATTCGTGGGGGCAGATGCAAGTTCAAAATGGGAGTGAACACGAAAAGCACACATCCTCAGAAAGGCTACTAGACACTGCCCTAGCAGTGGCTGCCCCTTGAGAAGGATTCATTTGCTACTCACTCGAGCAAGGCTTTGCTCCAATAAGTAGCCATTAGTGTTGTGAGATCTGGTAATGAACACATTACTTAAAACCCCCACCATCTGTCCCGTTTTAATCATGAATGCGGTGAGAATGAATTCCGAACACACAGCAAGGAGCTAGCAGAAACGCCCTGCAAGGGCATTTTAGCACGGCATATGCTCCTTTTGCCAGCAGTGCGGGTCTATTGGTTCACATTTGTCTGCTAACATCATTGATCGGGCTCCACTAGGCTCTCAGCACTCAGAGATGCTTCAGAGAGCACCTACAAACAAGAAACCGTCCCGTTATCTGCCATTTCTACTTCATATCCCTTCCTATTATACCCACATGTTTTATGTCTAATGTGGGATGAAGATTATGTCCTAGGGCCAATGAAATGGTTAGCAGGTAAACGTGCCTGCCACCAAGCCTGCCAAACTGAGTAGATCCCTAAGGCATGTACTGTGGAAGGAGATAACTCATTCCCACAAACAGTCCTGTGACCTCCACATACATGCTGTGGCACATACGCACACCCACAGTAAGTAAAGGAAAGGGTAATTATTTTTATACTATTATATTCTGGGTTGTTGAGACATTCACATATTAACATTTAAAATGTCTTAAATCTGCATCGCTCTACTTTGATCAACAGCGAAGGGAAATCTTGAACTCTCAGAGGTAGGTAGAACTGGTACCCATGCTGCGTGCATGAGGAAGGCACTGCCAGGAAGTGTGAGCTAGGCAGGTGTGACATTACATGCTGCTGAAGAGGAGTTCTCAAAGAGCTCATGGCATGTACAAACAGCCTTGGCCTGTAGAGGAATTTTAATTCAGAACATGGCTGCTCTGGCAAGAGATCACATCCAAAGACCTTCCAGGCCTCTGTGATCCCACTGGAATACAGACATGATTTTAATACAGAAGACAGAGGCCAGCAGATCTCTGAGTTCAAGGACAGCCTGGTATAGAGCAAGTGTCTGGCAAAGAAAAGCTTAGGCATGGTAGCACATGCCTTTAATCCCAAACAATGAAGGTAAACTTAGTTTATAGAAGCACCCATGTTTCAAGCACCCATATTTGAAAGTGATGTCTAATTGAGTGGCAGAAACAGTGACAAATCAGAGAAAGATTTGACAGACTAGAATATGCCCAATTCTCACAAGAAGAGAAAGGAAAGGGAAACTACTTAATGGGCAATGCAGATAGAGAGGAGGCAGTTTTTACCAATACAATAATGAGAGACAGGTTGCAGAGAGAGCACTCAGGTGAAGATCGAACGAGCCAGAGAATGAGGAGCCAGAGAAGAGAGCAGCTTGCTTGTGTTAGTTTGAGGCCAAGTAGAGCAATTCAGGGACTGAGAGAAAAGCCAGATTGAATAAGTCAGCTAGGAGAGGAGTTTCAGCCAGAACAGCTGAGTTGAACCAGCCAGTCCAGAGCTCAGAAAGAGCAAGAAATGGTGAGCTTATTAAGCAGTAAGTCTCAGAGACTGAAACATTGTAGGCCTCGATTAGATTGTATGGAGGCTAGAAGCTTCCAGGACTAGGTCTGTGTTAACAGAGAGAGGTAGCAAGCCTCAGAGACAACATATGAAACAGGCAAATAAAAGCCCTTTTACATTGGGCAGAGGAGAACACTTTCTTAGTTGCCCAGTCTCTGGCCCTGGCCATGAATTAATCAAGACAAAGTCCACCAAGAGGACTGTTTGTCATGCACCTGTTCTCTGCACTGTTCAAATGTATGATACATAGTCAGTGACAGTGATTCTTTGTGAATACAGGCATCAACATCAACCTCAAGTTATATTTAATATCCCTCAGAAATTATTTGAAGACACTTAAGGCTAACATGGAAAAGGTTAATATGGAATAATTTCTATGAGGTGAGATTGCTCTAAGAAAATAATTTAAATAAGTTAGCATAATTAAAAGTCACAACTCACACAGGAGATGAAGTAATTGGTACCTTTAAATCACTATATATTGAAATCCAAATATCTGTCAGGGAAGCGAGTAGGCTTCTCATCCCCCACACATTGTCTCCAGTTGTTCCGTGTTAACGTCATTTTTAGTGATATTCATATAGTTAAAAACACGGCTCATACAATTAGAGAATGGCTGCTCTTTATTAAATTCATTAATAATTTTGGAACCAGTATGATAATAAAGTTTGTTTCTATAGGGTATTTATAGGCATTGGGCATTAGAGGCACAGGGATGAGGAGAATACAGGGTTGTTTTACCACTCTAGGTATATCTAATTAATATTCTTTAAGACAATTAAACTATAACCTTTAGGACTGTCTTTTACCAGATGAAATCTATAAATTAAATGTGATGTGGAACATCACACCTACAATCCTATTAGCAGAGAGGCTGAGGCAAGGGGACGGTAGTTTAAAGACACTTTTGTGTTCAGGGACAGTCTGTACTGAAAGAGACCTACGTCTAAAACGAACCAAAACAAGATCGAAAATTGGCACGCAACTTCAGAGGAGTGGGGTTCCAATCAATTAACAATAAAGTAAAACAAGGAAGTTGTCTGGCATAACTAAATAATTGGTGCATCCCATTATCGAACAGTGACCCAGGGCACCAGTAAAGAAGATTCATGATGTAGGTTACTTTTATTTTTAAGTTTGGTTAAAGGTTCTTAACGAGGAGAAGGTGCAGAGAAGTTAAAACCTTGGCCAGAGCTCCAAACCCAGCCCGGCGTGTGGCAGGCACTTTCCGGTTGTGGTCAGCGATGCTTTATACGGTGTCCATTTATATGCTGTGGCAGGAAGAAATTTTATGAGCGTTGTCCATGTTCTGAAACAGCTCCAGGCCGTTCTTCTGCCCATGCTGCCAGTGCCAGCGTCCACCCCTTTGCAGCCTTTTCTGGTTTCCACAACTTGGCACTAAGCAGTAACTCGAGCTCCACTTTCCCAAGTTCGGCCTTTCCTGGACTCATCGCTTTCCCCTTGAGGTGAACAGTTTGGTTTAATAATTAAAATCACGACGTTCTAAAAGAGACTCTCAGTCTGGTAGTTTCTCCCGCAGTCTCATTAGGCAGTGGTGTTAACACTTGGGGCCTCGATCCCTCATTAAGCGGACACTTACCTCTTTACTACCGGGTGACAGATGCTGTGAGAGCAGGTGGCAGCGTCGAAGCATGTGCAGTGGTGTCCTTGGGTACCAACAACTCTCCTCATGTGGTGACGAGGCAGGTGCGGCAGTCAGGGAATTCACATCAGGAGAGGCCCTGCAGGCTTTGGACTCCAGGTGGCGTGGGGAAGGCGGGAGGGCCAGGTTGTGCTACAAAGGCTCCATTTTGGCAGTGGGCTGGAGAAGGAGTGGGCCGTCTCATTCAGGCTAAATGAGTAAGTTATGAAGACTTTTATTTCTTTTGTGATAGGGTCTCACGTGGCGAAGGTTGATCTTGAACTTGCCACGTAGCAGCAGCTGGTCCTGATCCTCCGATTTCTACCTCCAAAGGATGAACCACAGGCAGAACCGTGCCCATCTTAAGCAGTGCTCATGACACAGCACTGACTTTCTTTTAGAACCAGAGAGCATGGCCCAGCCAGGCTTCCTGGGGGCACATTGTAACTACTCAGATGAAATGAGCTCTGGAGAGCAGGCCATATTTCCAGTATACAAGACATCCAGCAAGCATGTGTGCATGCAGACACAGACACACACACACACACACACACACACACACACACACACACACAAGCTGTATCTTTTTTTTTTTTTTTTTTCTCTCCTAGGAAAAGAAAACACTCCTAGAGAGAAAATCGTGTTTGGAAAGGAAGCTGCTGCAACTCGGGCCCAATGCTGCACATTCCAAAAGGTTTGAGAATCTACCTCCTAAAATGCAGTTCCTGGTAGCTTTCTGTTTGTGAGTGTGCGGGGCTGCCCACAGGCAGGTTTTAAATGCCTAGAGCAGAGGTTCTCAACCTCCCCAAAGCTGCGACACTTTCATACAGTTCCTCATGTTGTGGTGACCCCCGACCATAAAATTATTTCATCGCTACTTCATGACTAAATATGCTACTGTTATGAACTGTAATGTAGACATCTGATATGCAGGACAGCTGATATGGGAACCCCAAAGGGGTCAGGACCCACAGGTTGAGAACCTCTGTTCTAAGGCAGGTAGAGGAAATGGGGCAAAGGCAGGGAGAAGGAACAGCAAATTCCTACGATTAACAGACATGCATCTGATTTGTCTCCTACGAGGGACCAGGGGCCAGAGTACAGGAGGGCCCTGGAGACCCAGTTGGGGGGTTCACTCTGCTGAAGAGGGAGTCGATCCTCCATTTACTGAAAGACGCTGGAGGTATCTTTACCCCCTTTGCTTTCATCCTTGTAAGTGGGTATCTTCAACACCTACATCAAACTGGCCGGTCCCCAAGTGAAGCTATGAGAGTCTGGCCCTCTTCACACTGCAGAGAGAGAGAAAGGAATGAAGCACTGCAGAAAGCAGCCTTTCTTTGTTGGGCTGTCTTGCCCGTAGTCATAGTTTTCAACCTGATCTCTCTAGGTCCTTGCTAAGGGGAGGGACTCTGGTCATCACAGCAGCTGGCATGCTCAGTTGCTCCGAGGAAATCCTCTGGAATGTTAGGTCCTGATAAATATCTCATTTCCTGAGATTTTTTATTTTCTTCCGCTTTTGACTCTAAGCTCGCTGTGGTCACGGTATGTTTTGATGTCAAGATAACACCTACTCTATGTCACCATCTTAGCTCAGCCATCTTCTGGCCACCAACATGGAGAAAAACAACAGACTGATGGTGCATTTAACTGGTGTTAACTCCCACTGCCTCTCTATAAGAGAAAGAGAATGGGTCCTTTAAAGGACCGGGTTACAGAACCGAGGCCTCCTCTCCCCCTGCGCATAGGCCAAGCATGCTGGCCTCTTGAGCGTCTAAGTATTTGTTAGTTTTGGCCTACCATATTGCTGTAGAAATACTGGGGTTAAAGATGCCAGTGACCACAACCAGCTTTACACAGGTCCAGGGGATCCATCGCAGGTCCTCCTGCTTGTAGGGCAAGCACTTTTAGCCTCCGATCCATCTCCCCACCCCGAAGCAGCTTTTGACTTCTCGTTCAAGTTCATATGCAAGCGGAGCCCAGGCCTCTTCTCTTCCCCGTTCCTTGTGCGGTTATGTGGATCCCTGGGACACATCCCCGCACATGTCTCAACAGCAGGAAAGGAGGGCTGGTGAGGCAGAGAATCCTTCACTCGCTCCTCCTCTGCGTTGCGTTCTCAGCTGCCGGCATCTTCAGTCGGAGATTTCCATCCTCCAGGAGCAGATCTGTCATCTGCAGTTCGTGATTCACTCCCAGCACCAGCACCTGCACAGCATCATCCAGGAGGTCAGCCTCACAAGTGCGTTTCTCAGTAGATGGCAGGCTGCCAGGGCAAAGACCGACCCCGGACCGCCTGGCACGCTAAGCTCCGTGGTCCGTCTTCTCACTGACATATCCTTTTAAGTCTCGCAGGCAACCTGACTCCGGGCTTCTCTTGCCCACACCTGTTGGGTTCTGGAAGTGAGTTTGAGAAACTGTGCTTAGCTGCTCTTCAGATAGTTTAGTGATTTTTGTATAAGCGTTTAAGTGTTCTGAGTCGGGCGTTGTTCACTGGTCTATGGAAGACCTCGTCCCTTCTTAGCTAATCAGGTTTGGGTTGTGTGGGATTTTTTTTTTTTTTTTTTTTTTTTGCGTAATTTATTATTCTTTTTCATATTGTGCATTCGCTATGCCTTGCACATATTAGCTACATGCTGTAACTCTGAGCTATAGCGACAGCCCCGCTTTACTTTGATCCTTGAGATGGGGGTCTTGCTTAATTGACCATGATAGTCTGAGCATTGCTATGCAGCCCAGACTGGCTTTGAATTTGGAATCCTTCTGCTTCAGCTTCCTGGGTAACTGGCATTCCAGGCACAGGCAGACTTGACTGTAACATATTCATGAACAGTGAATCTGGCGGGGGGGGGGGGTATTTTAGAGCAAGAGCTAGCCTGTGCTCTTCCTGAGGATGAGACATGTGTACCAGCCAGAGCCTTCCCCCGCCTAAGCCCCTGATGGGTTTTTCTGTAGGCAGGGTTCTCCTATAGATGGGAATGGAGGGTAGCATCACCTGATACTTTTCTTCCTGGGTGCCAGTTTGGCTGTGGTCTTCAGTTCTGGCTATGTCCAGTTTCTGCTGGCCATGTTTCATGCTGTGACGTTGCATCTTTTCATTTGATGAACACCATTTGACCACAGAATGCTGTATAATTTTTGACTTCTGTATCTATTCCCCATGATCTGACAAGATTTCCCAATTGTTCTTCCTGACTCTTAGATGGAAGGACTAAAAAATACTTTAAAGGAACAAGATAAAAAAATCGAAAATTTGAAAGAGAAGGTCGACACACTTGAAGCCCAGGTGAGAAGAGAATCTGTGCTGAACGTTTCAGTGTTGGTACACGCCTGGTCTGTGTGTGTAAGTGTACGCCTGCGTGTAAATGATACATTAGCGCACATGTATGTGCTTGTGCGTGATTCTCTGCTTGGCTAACTTTGAATGTGTTTGTGTGTAAAATCACACCTGACTATGTCTCAGAGTCTCTATGTAAGTACGTGTACCCTGGTGTTTATGCATGTATCTTTATGAGTGTATATGCATCCGCTATGCACGAGAAATTATAGCTTAATTCCAATTGCTACTAAATTAAAATTGTGACTAAATTATTGTTATTGAACAAATATATTAATTTATTATTATTAGCTTTAGAAACAAAATAAATGTCAAAGGTTCATCCACATCGACCCTGGATACTCGCTGTACTGGCAGAGAGGGGGTGATATATAACTTGGGCTAGAGGCATGGTCCAGGCTTCTCTTTGTAAATTCTCTAGTGGGATGGTGAGGCTTCTTGAGCCTTGTTTCCATACTTCTTTCACTCATGCAATGTCCTCTTCTGTCTTCTTTTTTTTTTCTTCCATCCATCCAGGCTTCCCAGGTTTGCCTCAGGGCTTACTTACATACCAAAGACTGCAGAAATCACCTCGCTTTTCAGTGCTTGTAAAACTGTAAAATGAGAGGCTTTTCCTGGGAGTTGGTTGGGAAAGTGATGAGAGTTAGTTTTCCTTCAAAGTAGAAGATGCTCTATGACTTTAAAATGAAGAGCTTCCCATATGGCAGTTATATTTTAAAAAACCTGAGTTTTAAATAACTTAATCAAAGTAATTTTATAATTGTATTAAATTCCACTTTTCTTAGGTTTGACTTAACAATTCATCATGGACGACCATTTTTTAAAATCTATCTGTCTATCTATCTATCTATCTATCTATCTATCTATCTATTTATTATAATTTAATCACTTTGTATCCTCACTGTAGCTCCATCCCTTGTCTCCTAGTCTCACCTACCTTCCCTCTTCTCTCCCTATGTGCCACCCCTAATCCCCTCTTAAGGGAGGACTTCCTCCCCTTCCATCTGACCCTAGCCAAACCCTAGTCAAAGCTGGCTGCATCATCTTCCTCTGTGGCTTGGCAAGGCTGCACCCCCAGGGGAAATTGATCAGAGAGCCTGCCACTGAGTTCATGCCAGAGACAGCCCCTGCTCTTCTTATTAGGGAACCCACTTGAAAACGGAGCAGCCTATGGGCTTCCTCTGAGCAGGGGGTCTAGGTCCTCTCCATGCATGGACCTTGGTTGGAGTATCAGTCTCTGCAGAACCTTCTGGGCCCAGGTTTTTTTTTTTTTTTTTTTTTTTTTTTTGCTCTGTTGGTCTCTTTGTGGAGTTCCTGATGGATAACCATTTTTTTTAAACTTTCATTTTTAAGCAAGATGCTTATTTTATTTTATTAATTTATTTTTTAATTAATTACTATTTATTCACTTTGTATCCCAGCTGTAGCCCCCTCCCTCGGCCCCTCCCAACCCCACCCTCCCTTCCTCTTTTCTTCTCCCTCCCCCAGTCCACTGATAGGGAAGGTCTTCCTCCTTTTCCATCTGAACCCTAGCCTATCAGGTCCATTAGGACTGGCTGCATTTTCTTCCTCTGTGGCCTGATAAGGCGGAGGAGATCAAAGAGCCAGCCACTGAGTTCCTGTCAGAGACAACCCCTGCTCCTTTCACTAGGGAACCCACTTGGACACTGAGCTGCAATGGGCTCTGTCTGTGCAGGGGTTCTAGGATATCTCCATGCATGGTCCTTGGTTAGAATATCAGTCTCAGAAAAGACCCTTGTGCCCAGATTTTTTAGTTCTGTTTTTCTCCTTGTGGAACTCCTATCCCCTTCAGGTCTTTTTATTTCCTCCTTCTTTCATAATATGCCCTGCACTCTGCCCAAAGTTGGGCTATGAGTCTCAGCATCTGCTTTGATTCCCTGCTAGGTAGAGTCTTTCAGAGGCCCTCTGTGGTAGGCTCCTGTCCTGTTCCCTGTTTTCTTCCTCTTCCAATGTCTATTCCATTTGCCTTTCTGAATAAAGATTGATCATCTTACCCAGGGTCCTCCTTCTTGCTTTGTTTCTTTAGGTGCACAGATTTTAGTATGTTTAGCCGATATTATATGCCAAATATCCACTTATAAGTGAGTATATACCATATGTGTCTTTCTGCTTCTGGGATAGCTCACTCAGGATGATTTTTTCTAGTTCCCATGATTTGCCTGCAAATTTCATGATTTCCTTGTTTTTAATTGCTGAGTAGTACTCCATTGTGTAAATGTACCACAATATTTTCTGTATCCATTCCTCAGTTGAGGGACATCTGGGTTATTTCTAGATTCTGGTTATTATGAATAAAGCTGCTACGAACTTGGTTTGTAGATGCTCAAGTATACAACAAGCATCTACAAACCAAGTCCTTGTTGTATACTTGAGCATCTTTTGGATATATGCCTAGGAGTGGTATAGCTAGATCTTGAGGTGGGATTATTCCTAATTTCCTGAGAAAAAGCCAGATTGATTTCCAAGGTGGTTGTACAAGTTTACATTCCCACAGCAGAACTTCTTGAAAGAACAATTCTCAATTTCATATGGAAAAACAACAACAACAACAACAAAAAATCCAGAATTGCTAAAACAATCCTGTACAACAACAAATCACAGATCGTCTGGAATTATCTCCTACCCTGATATCAAGCTGTGCCACAGAGCAATAGTAATAAAAACTACATGGTACTGGCATAGAAATAGAATGGTGGATCAATGGAATCGAAAATAAGACCCAGAAATAAACCCATACACCTACAGATACTTGATTTTTGACAAAGAAGCCAAAACTGTACAATGGAATAAAGATAGCATCTTTGACAAATGGTGCTGGTCTAACTGGATGTCTACATGTAGAAAAATGGAAGTAGATCCATACTTATCACTCTGCACAAAAGCAAAGTGGGTCGAAGACTTCAACGTAAAACCAGACACACTAAATCTGTTAGAATAAAAAGGGGGGAAGAGCCTTGATCTTATTGGCACAGGAGATAACTTCCTGAACAGAACACCAACAGCACCGGCTCTAAGAACAACAATCAATAAATGGGGCCTCATGAAACTGAAAAGCTTCTGTAAAGCAAAGGACACTGTCATCAGAACAAAATGACAGCCTACAGACTGGGAAAGGATCTTCACCAACCCTATATCTGACAGAGGGCTAATATCCAGAATATATAAAGAACTCAATAAGTTAAAAAGCAACAAAGGAAGTAATCCAATTAAAAAGTGGGGTACAAAAATAAAAAAAATAAAAAAGTAGGGTACAGAGCTAAACAGAGAATTTTCTGTAGAGGAATATAGAATGGCAGAGAAACACTTAAAGAAATGCTCAAAGTCCTTAGTCATCAGGGAAATGCAAATCAAAACAACCCTGAGAGTTCATCTTTCACCCATCAGAATGGCTAAGATAAAAAACACATGCTGGAGAGGATGTGGAGAAAGGGGAACCCTCCTCCACTGCTGGACAACCATCTTTAAATTAAATAAATGTTAAATTAAATTATATGTCATTAAAATTCTTTTTGATAAAAATGAAATAGAGAAACTCAGAAACAACAGATTTTCATTTTCTGTGATAAGACATGTTTTTGTTCCCATCCACTCATTTTCTCCCCTGGAAAACCCTTCCTGGCTTTGCAGGTTGATTCCATCTGCTTCACAGGAAGTACAGGAGCGCCCCCTACAAGGAGAATCTCTCTGAGAAGATTTCTGTCATCTGATAAGTACATCATAATTTATCCTAGATGCTGTGCATTGATTCAGTTGTCTTTGAGGTCCGGTAGTGGAACCAAGAGAGTGTGTCTGTTTCTATCCCATTCTGCCTTGTTCTTCCAGTTTCAGCCAGGGATTGTTGACCCCATTTAGTGGGGACATGAGCAGACCTGCATTGCCCCTCATGGAATCATGTTAGTTGGCCACAGAGTCTTCACAATGATGTGACAACACCCTTTGGTGCTATTCTGGATTCTCGGAGGATAGCTGAATCCTGGCCTTAATGCTGTGAACTTTTACTTTCTTCAGTAGATAAATGTTTTCCATGTCACCATTATAATCATTCCCTCAGAGCTTTAAAAGCCTCAGTCTTATTTAACTAACTGGCCCTGAACTTCTGCACAGTCAAGGATGCCCTTGAATTTTGAATATTCCTGCCACCACTTCCCCACGAGTGTTGAGATTACAGGCCTGTCTGAGATTTATTAGCTCCTTGGAATAGAACTCAGGACTTTGTGTATGTTCAATTATCAAAGCTACTCCAGGAGAAAGTTATTTTTTTTTTATAATTACATTTTGAAAATGCTGCATGAAATTTAGAGAAGATAAGAAATTTGTTTAAAGTTTCTCAGTGTCTTAATTACTGTTGTAGTGTGAAGAGATACCATGACCAGCTTTAAAAAGAAAGCATTGAACTTGCTTACATAATTGGTTCATATTCGTCAGCACGGGAACTGTGGTGGAAGGCAGGAAGGCTGGAATGGTAGAACAGTGGGTGAGGGCTTACCTCCTAATCTGCGGGCAGAGGACAGAGTGAGACCTGGCCTAGTCTGAACTTTTGACAGCCCAAAGTCTACCCCTAGTCTACCCTACACGTCCTTTCCTTCTTCAGTAGCCTATCAGCTAGAAAACAAACATTTAAATATTAGCATATGGGGGCCATTTTCACCCAAAATGCCACAGTCAGCAAATGGCAGTCACTACAATTGAGTGTACTTGACTTTAAAGCGTATGGCCTACTCCAGTATCCACGTAGGTGATAATGTACGTGTAGGTAAATGTACGTGTAGGTATACGTATATAAAATACATATAAAACGTGTAGTTAGTGATTAGAAGTGAATAGTCAGGACTGGAAAAATGACTCAGTGGTTAAGAATACTTGTTCTTGCAGAGGACTTGGGTGTGATTCGCGATAATCACATGGTATCCACCAACTGTCCATAACTCCAGTTCCAGGAGTGGATGACGTCCTCTGCCCTCAGAGAACAGCAAGCATGAAAGTGTAGCACAGATGTGCATATAAGCAAAGCATTCATATACAAAAAATAAAAATGAATAAATATACCTAAAAAAGAACAAAAGACATGAAGTTACATTAAACTTACCTAATTGTGTGTTTTAGCCATTGCCAAAGTTACTATATTAAATCCACTGGATTTTATTATAGATCGTCAGGTCATAAAAGAAGTTATTCCATGTGGTTTTATTTTCTTTCCATCTGGGTGTTTGTTCCCTCTCTCTAATTGGGTGATAAAATTGACTTATAAACTCTAATTTAAAAGCATTCCCTTCAGCCTTTTAAATATTATCAGAAAAAAAATCTGTTCAACACAAACTAAATAATTTTCTTTTTTTTTCTACCATTCCATGTCATTCATCACCTTAATTTATAGTTCTGACATTCACTTTCTGTTCCATTCATTTCTACCTTCCCAGTGATCTTCTCATGGGGAAGTATGCCCTCAGAAATCACTGTATCTTCTAAATATTAAAGATTAGTCTACTTTAGAAAATCATCATTGCCTTTATAAAGTACAATTTTTTCAATGTACCAATAAAAAATTAATTATGCAAAAATTATGCTCTATCAGAATACCATGTCAATGAACTGCTATAGGGTAGAGTCATAATAATATTAAACATAGTCTGATCAGTGGTTTGTAGTTTTGTAATGTGGATGATGTAATGAAAACTTAGGTATATGGTTGTCTTAGAGAAAAAAATAGAAAAGGTTAGGAATGAAAACTAAGAATGGATGAAACAATTCAGCATTTAAGTTGATGCTTGATGGGCCAAATCTCCTGCTTGCGTTTGAGACCCAACTTGAACAAGTAGGGGTTTGTTTGGGAGAAAATCCAAACAGCTTCAACGTAATTGTTCAATCACAGTATATTTTTACTTCAATCAAAGTTGTCAGTGTGTCACGGTGTTTTCAACTGCTTCATCACATAAGGAGTTCTGAACAGAGGGACTTTTCTCAGTCACATGCATGGCCTAAGATATGAGCCTGCACTCACTGTGTGCATGCATTAGACTTGTCTCATAATAGAAGGACAATGTTTATTATCATTTTGTCATATCTGAAGAATATTTTTCTGGATGAGATATACATGCTTAACTCTTGCAATACTACAATAAAAGAGTGTCCAGTGATGCTGGTCCCATCTTCCATCTTAAAGTTCTTCCCACAGCCCTAGTACAGGCTGGAGACAGCATTTGACTCTCAGTCTACTACTTTTTAAAACTGACCAACCCTTAAAGGACCTGTTGAGTTTTAGTGCATCATCAGCAGGCATCTGGGTTCTGATTCTGGCTGTCCTCAGATAATGGAGACTTTGAAGCGCCCACAAGTTTCCAGGTGATCTTGATGACACCAGGTTTACATGGTAGGAACTACAGCCATGTTTTTTTTGTTTTTGTTTTTGTTTTTTCCTTTTTCTACTTCACCCATTTCATTTTGTCTTTAAGGTTCAGGTTCAATATCTATGTGTATTGAATTGTATTTTGGTCCCTCTAATTTAGTTTATATCTTTTCTGTAATTATCTGCTATTTATTATTTTATGGCATAATTGTTTTTATTTTATCTTTGCTGTCACTTTAATGATAATAATGCGTCCTACATATTGAAAGAGAATATTCCAATGCTTTCTTGGGCTTCTTCATATACCCCTGGAATTGGATTAGTGTTGTACATGTGACAGGTACTGGATTACTGGGGTGGGTAGGGTAGAGGTTCAATATCAATGGCTAGTTGAGTTGACTGTTGTGACTGTTGATTTTTCCCAGTTACATTTTTACCATACCTGGATTCTCCCCAGACACCCCTAAATGTCTGTACCTCTTGTAATCACTGTTTATTCACTTGCAAAATAAGAAGGCTGAGCTAAATTTTGTGGTCATAGAGAAAAGTAATGTCTTGGAGGAAAAAGAAAATGGGCCATGGAGTCAAACAGCCTGCCTAGAGACCACAGCTGAATTTGAGAGCTGCATTCACTGCCTATAGTTTACCCAAAGCAGCTACTTGGTCAATTGGAGTTTATTTAGTCTTATTCTGTTAATAAAAGACAATGCATATTAACTATATGTTATGCAGAATCTTTTAATTCATAATATATTATCTAAAGCTGAGTCAGGCATATGAAGAGAAGTAATACAAATAAAATACCTGACCAATGTCTTGCATGCTAGGCATTTATTAATTTTCTAACTTCTATGAAAACTCTAATGTCTGTTTCTTAAAACTATGCATTTTGGTGTTGGCATTTTCCAAACTTAAGTCAATAAACTTAATCATATGACTTGAAAATAACAACCTCTGCTATCATTTCACCCAGCTATGTCCAAGACACTTTAAAATCATATCTGCATACGATATGCTCTGACGAAATCCACTCCCGCTTCCTCTCATCCAGATCTTCCAATACTCCCTCCCACTTTCCTCTACCAACTTTCTGTGCTCTGGCTTAAACTCACTGACTCCACTTAGTGCTATCAGTATGTATATGACTGTAGGACCGTCCATAGGAGCATGAGCAAGATGTCCAGGGTCACATCCCTAAAGAAAACTGAGGAAATCCTTCTCCTGACAGTTGCCAGTGGTCAATAGCTCCTCAGCTGGATGTGGAACTTCGTGAATCTCTTTCCCATTCATGTTGGGAGTTTAACTGGCTTGATCTTATGAAGGCCTTGTGCACAGAGTCATAGCTACTGAGTTCATACGTACAGTGTCCCTTCCCTGTCTAGAAAACATTGTTACGTATCAGTCCTTCACTACCTCCTGCTCTTACAATCTTTCCACATCCTTTTTTATGCTGATCCCTGCACCATAGGGGAAGAGGTGTGAGATAGATGTCCCACTTAGGGCCAAAGAGTCCACAGACTTGTATTGGCTGCACTTTGACCAATTATGAATCTCCTTTAAACACCACCTGTTGCAAAAAAAAAAAAGTTTCTTGGATGAAGACTGAGAGATATACTAATCTATGGATATAATGACAAAGGAGAAGTTTAATACTATGTTTATTTAGTAGAGTAATATAGTACATTTTCCTTTGGGGCCTGTGACCTACCTACCCAAGGGATCTTGGCTTAGTTAACAGTGCTAGACATGAGTTTTGTCTTGTAGAATAGACTCTAAATCCAATCAGAAGATGATTGGTTGCTTCCATAACATTAATACCACTCCTATACCAATGAGCACGTCTGGTCAAGTCAGTTGTTATTGTAGCTGAAGGTTCATATCCAGGGAAAACCTTGATTTGTTTTCTTCCTCAGTAGAATACAGAGTACCAATAGGAATGAAGCTTCCAGGTCAGCACTAGTTAGAGTCTTTTCATGTTCTGACTCAGCTATGTGGTGTCTTCAACAATAGGGTCTTACTATCAAATTCTGGAGAGTAATCAGGAGCAATGGCAACAGTCTGTAAAATTTTGGTGATTTATGGTATATTACTGATCAACAGCTGGAAAAGAGGTAACCTTTACCTGGAACTGGATTTTTGTTTGATAGCCTATGGTATCTTGAAAAGGTATTACCTCCCTATATAGGGCTTAATTCTGTAGATGTGTATGGTTTAGAAAAATTTTAGGTTTAATGACTTCTGACCTGTTATTACAGCCAACTGGGAACTCAACGTAGGTGATGACTGACTTTTTAAAGTTTCACTTGAGATATGTGAAATGATTACAGCACCATCTGCCCATCTTACTGGGATTGTTTGTTTCAGTTATTTAGAATAGAGAAAAAATATAACAAAACAAAATATAATCATGGCAGTTGTGTAGCATAATGGATCCTCAACTTTTCATGAAACTGCAATAATAACTATTCTGTCTGTAAGTCTTAACGTCTGTGGTGGACATTGTCTGAATGAGTAATTTATATACCTTTACCCTGTTTAAAGTCTGTCATGGTATCTATTATGTAGATGACAAAATTAGACATACAGATAAGCAAGCCAAAAGACATCACATAGGTGGCAACTGACTATACCTGGGAACATCTTCCCTTACCTGCTGCCAAGTGTTGTATTTTTTTCCCCAAACTTATATAATCATATAATATTAATCTACCAAGAAATTTGAAATATGAGCATATGTTTCTGCTTCTTATAGTAACTTATAAAAGCGAGGCAGGACTGGTATCTTTACTAGGAGTGTAGACATGAAGAGTATAAACCTTTAAGAAGAAAGTTGAAGATGAAGACAGCATGAACTATGAAGAAGAGATTGTGCCTATTTTTATAAGCTTTATAATCAGGCAGATGTATCAAAAAGATAATTATATAATCAGTATCATCTAGGAATATTTTTATTTGCCCATGAAAAGGAATATTTGTAAACTTAAGTAGTTCGAAGGCTGAGTCTCAGGGTATTATATTTTAACCCCTTGCTACATTATGTACTATTCAAGGCACGTGTACATATTGTGTTCCTTGGTTCTAATAAAATAACCACAATAAACTCACTCTCCAGCTTGAGGCAGCTGTAGAGTAGAGCAGAAGCATGAAGGATGGAGGCAATATGTGAATGTGCTGTTTGATCTCTGTGCCTTATGGCTTCTAATTTTAGAATAAAGAACTGAAAACTAAGGTGGCACATTGGACAGAAACTCCTAGGACATCAGTATCTAAGGCTGTCTCTACAAGGTAAGGCCTTTCCCATTCAGTTCCATCTTCCACCTTAATTCTGTACAGAAGACCCTAGGTGTGTCTCCTAGGTGATTCTAAACCCATCAGGTTGATGATGAAGATTAACTACCTCACCGCCTATCACCCAAATACTGTTCGAAACAGTCCATATTATTATGTACTGAATACTAATGGTTGGATATACTAGTGCCAACTAAATAAATGCACGTGCTTGTATATCTTTCTCCCTTCTCTGCCTTAAACCAAGCCCAAACTTCAGAACTTTCTTCAATTGTTACCCATAATTTTCCTCTATTCTCCTTTCTCAGCTGATCTGTTCTTTGTGCCATTAATGGATGTTTCAATCATGAGTTGTTAGTTCTTACGAGAATTTTCATGTCAGCTCTCAATCAAATAGATTGTAAATACTCCCAGGAAATCACTGGGTCCTCCTATTTCTTTTCATTTTCTGTACTACTAAGAACATGTAACGTCAACAACTGCCAGTTACCAATGGATGATTTCAAGCAATGATAATGACCCAAGGAAGCAATCAAAATGATGCTCAAAACCAGACAGATTTCTTTGTGCATGATATTTATTGTTGTTGGCTAAATCAGAATTTGAATCTGAACTTAAATCTCATTTCCATAAGCTTTAGGAAATGATCACTTAAGAGAAAGCATAGCCTGTAATTACATGAATCATTTAAAAAGTGATTAAAAACTTCCTGTTCTAGCTGCTTTTGAATTCCACTGTCTGGTCCCTACAGGGAAGAATCTCATTTTCAGAGACTCTTGGGCACAGGCCTGAGGTGGAAAATCAGACTCGCTATGATTAACATTAGTCTAGGAATTCAGACGGATTGGTCTCTAAAACTCCTAGCAACAATGATTCAGTTTGCTAATGATGTGCATAATTAGAGAGTAGAGATGAAGCCATTTTGAATCAAGTCCTCAGATCTCCAGGTGCGAAAATCTCAACTTGTTGGTCACTAGCATTGCAACTTCTAAAAAGAAAAAAAGCTAAGCCCTAGAGGGTCTTAAAGAGAAAGCAAGCTTTCCTGAAGAAGGGAGTGTGGTCGGTGTTCTGTTTCCTGCCTTGCACAAGTGTTTCCTAGAACTTGGTGAGCATCATGCACAGGGAACAGAGCCAGAGGGGGGTTGTGGAGGAAGTGCTGGATGTGCCTATTTACAGTGATGCTGCATTGAGTGGTGCCTATCTGCCTGGTAGAGGGGAGGCATGCTGGGAACAATGATTCCTTTGGTGATGCCTTTGACCTGCAATTAATTGACAGCTCAAAATTATACTGTTAAAGAGTTTGTTTTCTTTCCATGAATTAGAAAAATTCAACTAAGAGGAACTTCCTAACTGAAGTGTTGAAACTGGACATTTTGTGTTTTTTTTAAGCACAAAAGCTCCAGTGTTAAGGGCATAAATTCTGTTGTGCATTTTCAAAACTGAGTTGGCTAGTTGCTTTAAGAATGTCATTGCTACACGGTTTGGTAAGTGAAGCCTGGACTTTTCCAATATACAATGAAATTATAATTTGAGAGAGAGAACAGTTAAAACTTGTCTGAATAAATCGATCATATTTCCCACAAGACCTTGTTCTATCCTGAACATCACTATGTACACACAGGATTTTTAGTCCCTAAGCAGCATAGGGCTGTTTCTTATGCTGAATACAGGAGGTGATATGTTTGAGATAACACTCCATCTTGTTACAAAACACATGCATACATATATAGATGTGTACATATATGCATATACACATATGTGCATAGTTTTTAATACTAGACTCTCATGGTAAGGGAGGAGGTTCAGGCTTGAAGAATCCACAGAACTGAAACAGACGTTTTGAATGTTCTCATCTTCAATTTGCTCTGTTGCATAGTTCCACCCAGTGGAAAGTCACCAACTCTCTGCCCTCCCCCCTTCTGCCTCACTCTTGCCCGACTCAACCTATATGAAATTATTGATGATAAATGCCTTCCCTGCATGATTTTACTATACCCCATGGGGAAATCCATCAGAATAGATACATTAGCGGCTGCCTCTTAGATCAGACTTTGCAGTCTGGTAGCACTTGAGGACGGCCTACTAGGCCAATCCTTAGATAATGATAGTATAGCCATCGTATTACTAGACTATACCTTGTTCCACTTTGATAATTTATGTTGTCTTTCCTACAGCGAATTGAAGACTGACGGTGCTTCTCCCTACTTGATGTTGATTAGGCTACGGAAATGAACTGTCAGGATGAAGCTCTGACAGAGGACTACAGAGATCTTACTTATTCCTTGAAATGCAGTTTCAGCTCCCAAGTTAAATTGACGTCATGCCAGTATTTATTTAAACGTAACTTATTATACATCGGTAGCATAATAGGAAGATGATATTTCAGACAATGCAGCAAATGTCTATGCAAGAGAAGAAACTCCATCCCCCCCCCCAAAAAAAAAAACAGGCCAAGACATCAGGATCTTTCTTACATGGAAGATGAATTCTGCTTTAAACCTAATAAAAAATAAAATTTGATTTTATATCCTCAAATACTTTACTAAGGATGCTCCTTTAAGGTTGTCAGATTTGACCTTTGATAGTTTTTCTATGTATAAGTAAAGGAAAGTGTGTAAAATTTGTGTATGAATGAATAATTAATTTAATTTGGCTTTTAGATAATAAATATCTCACTATGTCATAGTCTCATCTCTCACCCTGTTTTTAAGAGAATTGGTGTGTACTGGTTGATATAAAGAGGAAGTAAAGAGATTCTCTTAGGATTGTTTGACACAGAATGCTGGCCTCTGAGGTTGAGAATCATGGCCTTCTAGTTGCCTCTACCACCTTAGAAGGCCATTGCTCTTTAGGGGTTCCAGATTGCTAGAGGAAAACCACACACACATATGGCTGCACGTGGCGCATTTTACTCTGTTACTCATTTTCTTCTTGATATGAATGCTATCTAAAATAATTAGGTAGAAGGACAGAACGTGGCAACAACATAATGTAATCATTATCTCCATAATAATGTAAACTGTTCAGCTCAGTGGAACAATGGCTGCTATCCAAGCCAGGAAGAATCCTAGTTTCTGAGCTGGAATGTTACGGCTGGCGTTTTCGTGAAAGTGTGCACAAATTCTGATGCATGCCTGCATGTAAGGCGAGGCTTGTGAGGGCTATGAGTTACAAACAAACTCGAACCTCAGAAATGCTGACCTGCAGGAAAGCAGACCACGTTTCTGTTGAATAAAGAGAGAGGCACTCAGTCACTCTCCTAGCGTGGATTACTATCACTGTGATGAAACATCATGACCAAAGGAAATTGGAGAGGAAAGGGTTTATTTGGCTTACACTTCCATATAACTTTATCACTGAAGGAAGTCGGACAGGAACTCAAGAAGGGCAGGAACCTGGAAGCGGGGGCTGGTGAGAAGGCCAAAGAAGGATGCTGCTTACTGGCTTACTCCCCATGGCTTGCTCAGCATGCTTTCTCATAGAACACAGGACCACCGGCTAAAGGTGGCCCCACCCACAATGTACTGTGCTCTTTCCCATTGATTACTAATTAAGGAAATGGATCCTTAATTAGTAATTAAGAAAATGGCATTTTCTTAACTGAGGCGCCATCCTCTCTGATGACTGTAGCTTGTATCAAGCTGACATAAAACTAGCCAGTACAGTCATGCAAAAGGAAACTTTCCCTTAAGCCTTGGGGCATTCTCTCAGGAAGGATGCTTCCAATCTGTCCAATTGCCATGTGAAATATGTTACCTTTTAAGTATTTAAATGCATGTACAGGTGAAGTAACATGATGTATTTATAAATCCATCCAGGTAAAGCAGTCCTGGAAATGTTACATAATGATATTTTTTGGTGTTATTGCTAACATGTCTAATGATTGCTAGATATTCTAAATTAATTTTTAGATTTATTTATTTTATTGTATGTCTATAAATGTTCTGCCTGCATGTATGTAGGTGTACATTCCTGGGGCCCATAGAGCTCAGAAGAGGTCATCAGATCTCCAGGGAATGAAGTTACAGATGGTTGTAAGGCACTATGTGGGTGCTGGAAATTGAACCCCATTTCTTTGCAAAAACAAGTACTCTTAATCACTAAGCCATCTCTTCAGCCATGTTTACTAGATTTTAAAATACAGATATATTTAGGATGTAATTATTTTATGTCAAGAAAATTCTAACCCTCTTACTGTATAAATTCTTTTACTCTTCCCTGAAGCCTTCACAAACAGATCCAAACTACTATCCTTCTTTTTGTAAAGAAGATATATGAAAGCAATGAAGATACTGGCCCAGCCCCAACAGTAGACATAGATCTGAACCTTTTGACTCTACATGGATAATTTATAATTCTTTTTGTTCAGTTGAGGGTCTAAGATGGTGCTCAGTTATGCTGATGTCTTCCTTCTTGCCTCAGTGAACAGACACTCAGCATCTTTGATGGCTGTGGATGGCAGTCAGGAACATAGCTTATTGCTAACAGGATAACTTCTACTATAATAGTTTATTCTAAAGCAAAGACACTGTTGAATATTGCATTGATTGTGGTATGCTATTTTCGCTGTTTTTTTGTTTGTTTGTTTTTTTCAAGATAGAGTTTATCTGTGTAGCCTTAGCTGTCCTGGACTCACTTTGTGGCCCAGGATGGCCTCAAACTCACAGACACTGGCCTGCCTTTGCCTCTCAGAGTGCTGGGATTACAGACATAACTAATTACCATGTCCGACTAGTATGTTATTTTTAAATCTGAAACACAGTTTGGCACATTATAGATGAGACAGTCACTCATGATGTATGGTTTACTTTGGAACCATCTTTAGACTGCTTGAAAAAAAAAACAGTGAGCCATTTCTGAGTCCAGAAAGACTTCAAATGCAAGCGTGTCTTTGTAGTAGTGTTGCATTTCTTACCTGTGGCTCACTTTCAACATTCTGTGGTTTTGGCTTTTATTATTTGAAATGTTTTTAGAAATAAATAGTACTGAATGATGAAAAGACACAACAACTATTACTGTGCAAGTACTATCTGCTAAGGAAATAGAGGCAAAAACCACTGGGTTTTTTTTTTTTTTTTTTTTGTGGTTTCGATAACTTGCTTTAATTGCACTAATCAACGTATTGGATAGAAATGTCTGAGATGGGCCATGAACTCATTTGTAAAACCAGGAAATAAAATGAAATATAGATCTGTGTTGTGTATCAATTTCTCTGAGATAAACCTTCCATTTTGAAGAGAAGATTAATAAAAAGGAGGCTGTCTTATGTTTTATTCTGCAAAGACTGCTCCTGAAGCTCGGAAAGTTAACAACTGAAAGGTTTCAGGAAGTCCATGAAACCGAGCAGTTTCTGTAAGCCTTTCCTTCCCCAAGCCTATATTAACAGGCTAGACTACTGAAACACATTCTCAGACAAGCTGAATTGCCTAGAAGAGGTTCAGAACAGTAAAACCACCTGGACGAGACAGAGAACACCCAAGCCATCCAGAACAGGCTGAGATGATCTGAATGCCTGAAAGACTCACTTTCCAAGTTAGCAATATGTCTGTTAAGTCACACAGTCAGCTCCAGGTTTTCAGCTTTCATGGGCGTACTCCTGTGCTGTGGGAGGGGGGAGACTGTGGTGATACAGCTGTCTTTGAGTCATGTATGTTCCTTTAAGTAGCCCCTCACCCCTATTCCCATAATTCCATTAAATTTTATTTGTTCATCAAGTTGAATTTTTGTGGTATCCATACTTTGATCTGTGGTTGGTTCCCTAATTGGGGTGAATAGGTATTTGTTCTTATCATGTCTCTTCAGGAATAGTGTCATTCAAAAATCTCCCTTCATTCCATGAATGTGCAAATTTTTACAAAATATTATTATAATAAATTTACAAATTAGATATTTGAGCAATTATTTATTCTTTGTTAAAATTAATTTTATAGTATATATTTTTATATTGAAAGCTTTATAAATAAGTTAATTTTTATTTGATTGTTTATGTCATAAAAATAACTTAGGGATTGTCTTCTAGTTAATGAACATAAACACCTTCTCAAATTTTCCTTTCTGCTGTTGTTGTTAATTTTCTCTGATGCAATTTTTAATTAAAAAAAAAACTACATTCAGTTTTTCCTAGTATTGAGGATTAAACCTGGGTCCTTGTTCTCTTACTTACTTAGACACACAATCTTAAATTATTACTGTAAATTGAAAAATAATATTTAAAATATTTAGGAGAAGCATACATACTTTCACTTTCTTTTGTACTTCTTCCCATTGAAATCCTTGCCTTTTAAAAACCTACAAAAGATTTCTAAAAGTCACATCAACAGTAAAGTATTAACTCAAATGAAAAGGGAGCTCACCTTGTGTCAAACTTGGAGTAGTTACCTTCTCCCTCCTTCCTTTCCTTTTCCTTAGCCCCTGCCTTCTTCTTTTCCTTCTTTCCTTCCCCCCCTGCTATTCTTCATATAAACTATTAAAAATGTAGGAAATATCTGAGTAATCAAAATAATCTTCTTTGCTAATTTCTACAGTTAAATGGACTTTAATGACATTTATGATACATTGGTGTTTGAAAAAAAATAGCAGAAACAGGATATCACTCTTACCTTCTCTCTTTATGCTATGGAACAAGTAAGAAAATACAGCAAGAATTTTTCCAATCTTTCTCTATGTCACCGTCATTTGAGGGGTACCCTTCCTATAATAAGAATAAAGGAATTGCCCCCCCCCCTTTTAAAGGCAGACACAGGAAAAGATTTGAGCAAATAAGTTAGTTCTTATCTACTTTATCTTCAAATCTACCTTAAAACTCACTTTATCCATTTCTTCATCTGCTTCTGAAGGTATCTATATTGTATAAAGTTTAAATTAAATTGTATCTGTTTCTTTGGTAATCTGCCTTCTGTTTAAGAGCCTAAGGTGTGTTTTAAAAATGATGGAAGAATCCTGGAAAACTGGAATGTACTGTAAACATGTGAGATTGGTTTATAATTAGAAAATCAACTAGAGTAATGACTATTTAAAAAATGAATTAAAGCACTTGAAGAAATTCACCCACTTATGATGAAAATTCGTGAAAAACAGAATCAAAAGACCTTGCTATTGTGAAAAAGAGCACTCATGACAACCTTTCAGTTCACACATTTATAAAGGGAATACCAACCTCCAGCAAAAGAACAAACAGCCAAAGATGCCTGCTAATACTACTTGTCTTAAATATTGTAGCACTGACTAGAAGGGGAAGGGTAATAAAAATAGAAAGAAGAAGCACACAGGTGACAAAGGAAAAGGTAGGAATTTCCTTTTATATCTAGGACAGTTAGCACAGAGAACTCAAATGAACCAAAAGTATTAGATTCTGGATATCTGAGAGACAGAAAAATCTACTGAAAGAAGTTCCTAAATCTTCAGTGTATACATGGAATGATGTATAGTTTTACTAAATTGACAGTGATAATTATAATGGTTTATGCACATCAAAATGTATGGTGTATATCTTAAACATATACAGTTTGAGTTTGTTGCTTATACTTCAAACTGGAAAAAGTAAAACATTACTAGTATAAGTGAAGTTAAAGCTCACCAATTATAAAACTAACAAGCAAAACTCATTATCTTAGGAAACATATATGTCAATAAAGAAAAAAGAGAAGCC